TGGCTTTTCAATCCCATCCCTGCCTAATAATCTCATCCCCATCCCCGCCCCGCCAAGTCTAATGCTAAAACCATACCCACCCCACCCCCCACTTGGATATCCACCCCCACCCATCCCCGCCTCCCAAATACAACAACAATACATAATTTAAAATACAACAAAAAAAAATTCATTGTTTATATTACGCTTTTTAAATTTTTTTATATATATATTATAATGTATTACATTTATTACTTTATTTTACATTATTATTTATTATTTATATGAAATAGCATAAAAGTATATAATTATCTTTTAAAAAATATATAGATAGGTATGGGGTGGGGATGGGGCGAGTATGAAGCGCGGCGGGTGGGGTGGAGCGGGGATGGGACGGGTACAACCTAAAATTCACCCTTGCCCCATCACCCATGGCGGGTATGGTTTTTATCCTCATCCCTGCCCCGCCACCCGCCAAACCGAGACCCATCCATACTCACTATGTATTCACAAATTATGTTAAGAACTTGATTTTTTTTCTCTTTCATTGATTTTTAGTTGTTAATATTTATTTGTAGAAGGATACATCAAATTTTTAATTTAATCTATTTTTTAATATTTGAAATTCAAAAAACTGTCTTGGATTTTTTTAACACATAATTAAAAATATAAATAAATAAAATTATTGTTTTAATAAGTAGTACATAATATTATGGCACAATTATATTAAAAATATGGTTTACTATATTTTTATGTACTTTAGTTTCTATATTTGCCAATGTACTCTGTATATGTTATGGAAAGACATATCAAATCTCTTATATATCTATTATTTTTGCTATCTTTTTATTTACGTGTAAGATGTGTCAAATCTTTAATTTATGTATTATTTTGCTATTTTCTATTTATGTATAAGATTTGTTTGCTAAAAATTATTTAAAAAAAAAAAAAAAAAAACTAAAGGACACACCAGAAAATGACACATGTCATTGTTGGTGTGTCTTTTAGTATATAGTTATTGATTGATTTTATCTTCATCTTTTGTATCAACCCATTTACAGCTTTTTTTTTCATTATTTATCTTCTTTTTTTTTTTTTTTTTTTTTTGTGTGTGTGTGTTATTAGAGAGCCACAAAGGGTGGGGTTGAAAATCGATCCCATGATCTCTTGGTGTTTTAGAGAGCCACAAAGGGTGTGTGTGAATCATTCCTCAATACTGAACATATTTATATACAAAGCAAAAGAAACCAACAGTCACAAAGTAACTGTCAAACAACCAAGCAAAACTAACGAGAAAACCCTCAGTTTCTAAACTCCTCTGACACGCGCCCGACCGGGCGGCAGAGACGATTCCAGAACTGACCCTCGCGCCCTATCGGGCGAGCACCACCCAGATCGGGCGGTGAACCGGGCCAGCTGTTATTACTTCTCTAAACCGTGAAGTGTTTTGCCTACCTTCAACCTTTTTACCAAGGTTAATTAATCTTGTTATTTGCTTTAATAATCTTGTTTAATTAATCTACAACACCATATCCTAAGTAAATTAATTAATTACATGAATTTTGTCTCCAATTCTCAAAATAATTCAACAGTACTTTGTTTCTTATACTCCGTATCGTATTCCTCCTAATGTCAACACCGCAACTACAACTATTAAAAGTTGACTCGACTTGAAATACCGACTCAAACCCGATTATTAACCAACCCATCTGAACCCGAAAAAATGGTGACCTAAACCCGACCTGACCCGACCTGAAACCAACCCTAGACCCGAGTTGACCCGAGTATGTGAGACATGAACTCGAACATGAACTGACCTGGAGATGACCTGACCCGAATATTACCCGTAAATTATTGACCTGAACCAAACCCGACTTAAAATAAAATTGACCCAAACCCATTTTAACCCGTCAAAACCTGAATTTAACCCGACTTATTACTAACCTGACCTGAATTCAACCCGACTCGTTCCTTACCCGATTCGAATTTAACCCAACTGTTACAAACCCGACTCGAAATCAACCTGACTTGTTATTGACCAGACCCAAATTCAACCCGACTTTTTATTGACCTGACCTATTACTAACTCGAAAAATTCAACTCGATCTGTTACTAATCCGACTCGAAATTAGCACGACTTGTTATTGACCCGACCTAAATTCAACCTAAATTGTTCTTGACCCGATTTCAAATCACCTTAAATGCAATTTAGACCACCTTATTATTGTTGATCAAAACATTTTGTATAGGGAGACAAAGTCGGTCCAGGCCAACAAAAAAAGAGTATCATCCTCAAATTTAAGAGTTAAATATAGTATATATTTGTTGGTATATATTTGTTGTAGGTCAAAGGAGATAATTATCTTCCTAAAATATAGAATGCTTATATACTAGGGAAAGAGGAGATGAAAGAGCAAAAAAAATTTAAAGAGCCATGCAAATGATGCAATTAATGCAAGGTAGTACGTCGTACTAGCTAAATTTATTTTCAGTTGAGTTGTGGATATAAGAACAAAAAGAGTCCTACAATGCAAGGTTGTACACTTGTACAGTTGTACTAGCTACTTCCCCGTTCTTTATTACTTGACCCACTTTGACTTTTACACTATTCATCATCCCTCCTTTGACCGTCTTTTGTGAATAATATGTAAGGAAAAATATATTCATGTATGATCTTTTGGGATTCATCTCAATAAGTACTATCATAATATATAACTTTTATAATTTTTACTTATAGAGAATTTAAGTTATTGATCGTTAAAGTTTTGCATTGACAAACGTGATAAAAGAAACAGGTCAAGTAAAAAAAACAGAGAAAGTATATTTTTGTTTTTTTTTGCAGTTGAGTTGTTGATAAAAGAGCCAAAAGAAATAAAGATAGAGCCATGCAATCCAAGAGGTAGTACGTACTACGTAGTAGGAAGTACTGTAGTAGCTATATTTTGTGCAGTTAAGTTGTCACCCAACCACCAATACTAATGCTTATGGGAAAATGTTGTTATTATCCTTGCATCATTTGTGAGCAAGTCTTTTCATTATTAAAATGAGTTATACTCGTTTGTTATAGATTTTGATCTTGCTAACGAGCGCCCTGGGGCGTCAGATAAGGAATAATTATATTGGTTGAAATGGTATTAAGTTAGGAATGTATGACAAAATCACGCATCGTTCGGTGTAATTAATGTTAATTTTACTCTAATATTCCCACTTTTAATTCTCTTATATAACGCCCCGAGGGCGCTCATTAGCTTTTGCCTATAGATTTATAGGTCAATTGATCAAACTATTACTATCGTAGATTTATAGGATATTTAATGATCTAACGATTAGTCTATGTATTTGTACTTTCCCAAGGTCTTGTATCTTATACCCTTTTTAATCGAATTTGAAATCACTCATTTTTGTGATCTCTGTTGTGTATGTAGGTGTTTATTTGTTTAATGCTATGTAGCTTAACTATAGTATATTTACATATGGTATTATTATTAGATCACTTTAATGGATCAATTATGTTAGCTAATAATTTTTAGAAGTGGTTTTTCCTGATTGGATTATATATGTTGGATTGTTGGTCACTTGGTTGTAGCTACTCCGTAATTCATTTCACATGATTGAAACTAGTGCGGAATTATTTATATTACATAGACCTTAAAACGTGCAATCACTACTATGGCTCAATCAGTTGTATTTGATCTACAATTTTTTACCATGTATATACAAGCTATCCCACTTGCTTTTTCATTCTCTCTCACTCTCTAATATATGTGCCTAAATCAAACGCGTCAACTAAATAGAAACGGAGGAAGTATATGACGTTAATCTTGTTCATGATATTGCTACACCAGTACGTCACACAATATATTTGCTACAATTTTTTTACCTCAACCTCAACCAAATTAAAATAATTAGACACTAGCTAGTAGTAGTTGTAAATTAAAATAAGCCCTTGTTAAACATTATTTGTTCATCTTTGCTATACTCTTGTCAAGTACTCAAGTATTCAATGAGATAAGTTGTCAAGTAGGTGGAAATTGTACTCGAAGGTACCGAAAGAATTGATGAAGCAATAGTACTCGGGTTTCAATACAATGCATAAATACATAGTTGGCCTTATGAAATACTACATCAAATAAACCAGTAACACTAGTTTTAGCTTTGATGCTTGTATTCAAGTCATGAATGTAGGTGAAGATGATGTGGATCCTGTTGCACTTGCAGGTATGGAAGCGCAACCTCCACCCCCGGAAACACTTGTGTCTCAAGCCATGTATTTTTGAGATAGGTACAATACGCATCGTAACATGTGGATACAGAAAAGACTTGGAAGAATTTCACAACAGAATTCGAAATTCTGAGCTTCTTTGGGTTGGTAGTTTAAGACAATTCCAATTTGCTCTTCCTTATGCCAGATCAAATGTCCGCTTTCGTCTCATTGACGGCACCCCGACGGACGAAGCTGATGCCATTCAGAATGCTGCTCAAGCTGCCAACAGGAACTTTCAACGCTAGCTCGCTACGACAACTACGTACTTCAAATGTCTTAGCTTAACTATGTTACTTTGTTCTACTTCGTATTATGTTGTTTATTATAGTTAAGTAATGTCTAGCCTAACTGTATTAGTTTGTTCTACTAGTACTTCCTTTTCTTTTGTTAGTTGGTCTCATGTGTCGATCATTGCCTCCGATCCGCGAGGTCCAACCTTATGTATTGCCTAATTTATTATTATTCTATAATACTAGCTAGCTCGCCACTTGGTTTCAAAAACAAAAATGTATAGATCGATCACTCCTAATTAATTAGTAAAGCTCTAACCACTTGAGTTATCCCTCATTCTCTTATCTTCACTACAATCATCTCCTATGTGGTTAGGTTGTGTGTGTTGGATTAATACATTAAACTTTTAATGCTCAATAGAAAAAGCTTTTTTATCAAAGCATTTTTTATGATATTGCTAATAATATGATTGACCATTTAACCTCTTTCAATGTTGTTTCAGAAACAATTTAGATAATTACTCCAATGCTTTCTTCTTAGTATTATCATCATTTTTTATTTTCATAGAATAATTAAATGTAAATATTGATTTGTAAAGCATATTAATACATACATAAAACATCACTCCTAATTAGTAGAGGACAAGGACCTTCTTCTCCTGAACAACCATGCTTTTTCACCCCTACTTTGAACCTTGTTCACATCATGAAGGCGTCTAGACCCCGAACTTGTTCTTGAGGAGCTGTCATACGAGTCTTCCCATTCACTAGAGCTTATTTCAATTGCTTCATCTGCCTTTGCTTTCCCCTTCAGATCTTTAGCAGCCAATTCTATTTCAGTATGCAAATCATGCTCGGAATTTGTTTCTTGATCACTTTCTTCACCTGAAGTACTGCTATATGTGTGAAACATAGTAACATTTTCAGTATTTGACCCTTGAAAAGAATAGCTTCTTACTTTCCTATCATATATTGGAAGTACAGGTTTTGACAGTGAACTTGTGCTGTCTTTTCCTAAGCTGTAAGTTGTTGAGAGTTTCCTTTCGATGCCTTCTCTTTAACGTACTAGATTGCTCAAATTTTCCAAAACATTGCTGGTTGTTGCCTCCTTGGCTGCCTTCTGCTCTAGCTCTGAAATCGTCTGATCATACTCTTTCTTTTTAAGCCGCAGTGATTCCTAGAGAAAAATATAACAGCAAGTCAGAATTCCACTGCATATTCATATTTCCAGGATTTAATCTTGTAGTTCTGAAATTGGCTAATAGTAATAGAACCAGGGTGTTACTAATACTAGACTTACTCGTTTATCAAGGAATTTTCCAAGATCTTGATTTCGGAGCTTCTGCTTATTCCAAAATATACAACAGAATCGTACACTTATAGCCAACGCAACCAAGATAATGGTTTCAAACAGCAAGAATAAAAGTATAGCTCTTTCGTTTCCTAGGAAAAGAGAGTAAAATATCCCGATTAATGTCAAACACTAATCAATTTCCAGTCTTAAGACTCCTAATACATACTGAATGAAAATACAACTGATCTACCTGTATAACACTGATGCTCTTGGGCCTCAACTCGGAGCAACTAAATGCTAGCTTCAGATCTGCAACCAGAAACATAAACCAGTTATGTTGGAAATATGCAATTTAAGGGCATAAAGAATGAGTGTCTCAGATGAAATACTGGTGCTCCTGCATGGAAGTGGGTTTCCGATCTCTGCATCACAATATAAAAGTGCAACCAATCACTCAGAGTATTCTAGGATTTCTAGCAGAATCTGAAGTAAAACAAGCAGCATGAGAGCTTTAGTATGTATATCAACTCAAGGCCATTAGTTAATTTTACGCAACAATTCTTTTAAGCAAAAGAGTGATTATGATCCTTACTTGCTGCAGCAATAAAAGCAAGGGCAATCTCCTCGTTTAGATTAAACTTATTCAGGTCACTTCGTGATAGGTTTGATGCAAATTCACCTGTGTTAAGTGATGTACACAGTACACATAGTGATTAAAAGATTGGAAAAGAGTTCTCAAAATGCAAGTTCTATAGTGAAAAGCTTACCAGGATACATGTCCGACCAATAGAAAGCTTCAGTGGCAGGAACCAACAATGAAAAAACAACATTCTTGGGTTTCATTGCAGAAACAAATGTGTAATTATCAATCACACGGCTGCTTTTACCCTCCACTTCTGTCTGTGATATATAAACTGCATAGCCAGAGCAATCAAGAACAGGACTGACTTGAATCACGGAGTTCACTGGAGACGCCTTAGAGAACTTTTTTAGGATCCCCGTTGGTGAGATGGAGTAGAGGAATCCATCAAGTGAACCGATAGATACCCACCCTACAATGTTTACAGAAGAACACATTACAGAAATCAAATACAAAAAATAATCAACTGTTAGAAACAAGTTTTATGACAAATTAAATTACCATTGGCATCAACTACAGGTAAAAGCTCTGCAGAACTTAGAGGTCCAATATTAATCTCCCATGAAATATCACCTGTAAAAGCATCTAAACCGAGTACAATGGCCTTAGCAGGAACTGTAACATACAGGAAGCCATTGTTTCCTGGAGTGGCAGTAAATACTTTGTCAAATGAACTCAAATTCTGAATCCATTTAAAATGAGGACTACGAGCTGATATAGAATAGAGTTCTCCCTCATTATTTGAAATCTGCACACCAAATCAAACACAAAAACTCAACAAAAACTTGTAAATGACATGACTGAAAGACTGATCTGAGATAACTTACATATACACTGCTCTCACAACTATCAATAATAGGAGGTGACTTGAAATAACAGTCTGTAACATTATTCTTGCAACCTTGAAAATACCCGAACTGATTAATTACCGGTAAAGCACTCCAACGCAGCCTCCCTCTCAACGAATATGCAAAAAGTCCTTCATTTCTAATGTTTATATAGACAGAAGATGTTAGCATACTTGCAGAAAGTCCAAGGATTTCATCTGATCTTTCTCCTGTTGATTCATTACCAAAGAAAAGTTCAACAGCTGGATCAGATGTTCCAGCAGTCAAAGTATTGATCCTTAACACTTTGTTTTCTGCAATGATGTACACCTACAAACAATTTGATAAGTTCGCGTAATTGCTAGTCATGAATTCATAAACCCCTTGCATACTCACTAAAAAAGGCTGATAAAATTTACCTTCCCTTTTCCACCATAAACCGGAGCAATGCCGCCATTGCACGTATAATTCAAGTGTACACTCGAAACCATAGACCCATTGCTTTTAAAAGCATACAAAAATTTCTCAGAACAAGAATATACAATTCCATCATCTACAATCAGAGGTTTCCCTAGCCTAGAAGTAAAACTTTTCCATGGTTCGGCTGCAACAAAGAAAGAATGCACATTTCTCAGAAAATTCTTAGTAAATCCACTAATTATAAAGGATACATAAACATATAGCAACTAACACTTTGCATATACTACATCTAATACTAACTCCGTCCAGACTTGAGACTTTTTTTGTTACATTACTAGTTCAAGTTACAATATCAACACGAGAACATGGCAATTAATTTGTGATGGGATTTCGTATCATACCTTGAATACAACCAGGCAGAAGTAGAAGCAAGACAAACCAAGGAAGTACAAGTAGTCTAGTAATCCAATAGCAGCCCACCTTGCACATAATATCAACGAGTAAAACAGAATTTATTGACAATCAGTCTTAAGAATATTATTGTTTACACAAATGCCAAAGACAATGAAGATTGAATGCAAAAGTAAAAATGAACAAGGAAAGAAACGGTTACAAGTTGAAGTGTTGTTTCTTTCTTCAAAACTAACTGTTGGGTAGTTAAGTTGAATTTATCATTAATAATTTTTTTTTTTGAGGAAATAAAATTTTTACTATTTTGTCAATAACTGATTTCATCTCTCCTCACACACACACACACACACACAAAAAAAAAAAAACAAAAAAAAAAAATCATTTTAACCCATAATATATGTTCACCGTTGGTTCTTTTTGCCTATTAAACAAATTTTAAATCCAGTCAAAAGTTTTTCCTCAAAATAAAAATAAAAATAAAAAGTTTTTTTCTTAAGCTTGCTTGCCGAGTTGCCGCATTGAGGACTAGAAGACAACGGTTGGATATAAATCATAGTTTGCCGCCAATATTATGATTGAATGTTAAAAATAAACGGTCTAAATCTAAATGAGAGGTAATTACAACACTTTTGTTGCAGCTATTGTAAAATTATCAGGTTATAGACCTTATAGTATTGATTGATGATTGTCGTAACATGTTACCTGTAGGCGTACCAATTATTAAGTTTCTTCGTTCCAGGGCTCAAACCTATGAGCCTATATCTTTGGCAAGCATAGTGTGTTTAAAGCCATAAAGATGTATAGCAGTATAGAGTATATATCAACCATCAGTATTATGTTGAACTTGGATCATGAAATATAATTATACTCAATTCATCTGACACCAAAATTTACAAAATTTCGTTAAGCTAACAAATAATTGTAAACTACATTACCAATAAATGATGGACTAAATAAAGAATGCAATAAGCTCCTAATCCTGTACAGAAGAAATTATAACTGACAGTAACAAAGAATGGGTATGTGGCACACCAATAAGCCATGGAAGTTGATGCCCGATTTGAGAAGAAGAAAGTCTAGAAAGGGCTTATTTGACCGGCTAACTTCACCAATATCTCAGGGACTAGGCGTCTCATGGGTGAAGAATTTGCATCCCTCATCAGAGCTTCCTCATCATCTGCGTGTATGACAGAAACCAAATGCTCAAACAGCTCATCTTTACCGCCTCTTAATGGATCCTGCATCATTAATAGTATCGTGTTAAGGAATCACATGGTTGCTTAAAACTCACACACACACGACTCGTTATAAAATATTTTTTTGTGACTAAGCATAGGTTCTGTTACCATGCTTTTTGTTTAAAGCTATACAGGATTTCTGGAATTTATTGAGAAACAGAGAACACACTGAAAGATGGGGAAAAAAGTGATTTGTTGTTGATCCAGATTTGGGTCAGGTACACTGAATAGAATGGGCTTATTCTTCAGAAAAAGCTTCCAATTGTTTATTCATATTAGTGTTCATTAAAGTTTAGTCGTATACAGTATGATTGGTATAAACCAGGGGATAAGTATAAGCCATGCACAGAGTGGACTCATACATCCACTCTGCGCCAATTTTCCCCCAAAAATGCCCTCCAATTTGGATAGGGAAATGCCATGTACTTGGAAAAAATGCGCCAGTACATTAAGTATGACAAACAAAAGGACTGAAAGTTTCAACCTGAACAAACATATCAGTATGAGTTTTCCCTTCATATAAAATCAGATCAGCATGACCACCAGCATTTTTGAGAGTATCTGCAAAATTTTCACTGCACACAAAGACGATCAATAGCGAAGAGTCAATGTACAATTGTACAGTCGTCAACAACAAATCACACTAATAATGCTTGAAGATATTATAGACCTGGCTACTGAAGGAATGGACTTGTCTTCAGTTCCATGAAAAAGAATGAAAGGGGGCAACAATGAAACGGCCTTTGCAATGCTTTTATCCTGTACCCGAAGCTCAGGAGAATACTTCTTCAGAGAACTTTCTCCTTCCATAATGCTGAAAGGGCATCCAGTATCCATTACATTATTGATGTCAAAACAGAAACAGAAAAATAAATTAAATAAAGTATAGAAAGCTTAAATTATAAATACCTCAAAAATATGGATCGATAGAGACCTCGATTGTTAAAGTGATCAACCAGATTCACCAAGTTAAACCTACTCCCAAGATTCAAAGGAGATTGTTAGATAAAATGAAAGACATTCATATTATCTGGCAAAAAAAATGAATCTGTGAAAATAAAAGAATTCTATCACCACAATTTTTATTCCTAACCAGATTAACAGGTAGACATACTCTACTAGTCTACTGTGAATCCAACTAGTTGCTTAAAAATTAAACTAAGGAATTAGTAGAGTTCAAAATGTCATGTAATAGACCAGATAGCTCTACCCGAAATTAAGCACAAATAACAGTAAATTAAGGCTGAAAGCTTGAATGTTTGATTGTGGTTGAACGATAATAAGGGAGGCTACAAATCTCCTAGCAACTTGAGGTTGCAACTCTCTTAAGTTTCCTCACTTTAATTTCTGCCTAATCTCACTACTAAGTTTACTACCCTATTTATGCTCAAGACATCTAAGACTAAAGATGGATACATGTGATCTAGAATCGTCATATTTACAAATTTGCAATAATGCAACATATGCCATAAAACAATTCCAGTGAGCTAGTTAGAACAACCACTATGGGCCAACACAATTTCAATAAAATGTAATCAGCATTTAGGAAGCAGAACATTAGAAGCATTGAAGTGACTTGAAAATGATCAAGAAATGACCACTAAATTGTAAAATTTTAGATCAGTGCATACCCGCCAGATAAAGAAAAATAAGTTTTTATCTGTGAAACACTCCAAGAACAGCTCTCTCCTTGTGACTCTCTGATTGCCTGTTCCAAGAGAGCACAAGCTGATATATGTGCACCAGCTGATTGCCCAACGAGATAGATTCTGTGTCCACAAAAGGAAGAAATAATTAATGATATGACAAGAAGCAAAACTTGACAAATTTTAAATAGAATTTTAAGTCAAATACCTATCAGGATCACCTCCAACAGCGGCAATATTATTACAAACAAATGAGATGCCCTGGGAAACATCTTTAATCATGTCACTGATGGTTCCTTGAGGGAAATTTCTGCATAATAAGTTTGGTAGTATGAATATCTCATGATCATCAATCATGTTAGAAACGTCTAAAAAATAAATGAAAAAAAGACACACATGCACAAAGTTAACACATAAGAGCAATAAGCTATAATACCTATAGTCAAGGCTGGCCACTATGATGTCTCTTTCTGCCAATTGTAATCCAAGAAGGGAGCCCCACGCTTTGTACCTAAATCGGTAAGAAGAGAAAGAGATTAAAGAATACTTAAGAAAGCACACGTGAAATATCCCAACCAGTAATTACTTTAGACAAGCTTGAATGATTCAAACAACAATATAATTTTTTGAAAAACTAAAAAATTTTTGTAGCAGGGTCTCAATGTTCCATCTCATGAAATTGGATAGTAATAGAGCTAGTACGCATGAAATACTTCTAAGATCCATTTGTTTGTTAGACGAAAACACAAGAGCTATCAATAAGAGCATAAATCATGACCCTTCTGCAATTTCGATTCAAACCTTTACTGATACAGACACTTGAACTAATGTTGTTACCAAAACAACAGAGAAATTCCTCTTCCAACAAAAAATAATCATAACAATAAAGATATAACCCAAAGTGAGTTCTAGACAAATTACTCACCCAATAATCCAGGCTCCCCCAGTGACAAATATCACAACTGGTTTCTTTCCATCAGGACCCATTGGTAAATAAAGATCTAGCCTGCATTATGACAATCACATCCGTATGACAACAGAGTAGTAAGAACCTATACATATATAGGTGAATAAAAAAGAGATTTAATTAGGATAAAGAGTAATAAAGCACAGTCCTAAGCTTCATTTATCTAAGATGACCTCTACTGTACTTACAGAACAAAATGATTCCTAACATTGTTGGCATGTGTCTTACAAGAGTCAAAAGTCTCACAAGTCACCACCAAAGACAAACAACAACACAAAGTGAAGAGACTGAAGACATACCTATTTCTTGGTTGATCTCCATAAATAATACTACGATGTACTTGGTTGGAAAAGTAGTAACTATATACCACTGCACAAAGAATGATTGAAGTTCATTATAATAATATTACAAAAATATAATAAGTAATGTTAAGTGTAAACACTTGCAATTTACTAGAAATAACCTGATTGCTGCATTTACTCAAAACAATCAACTTACCTTGAAGAAAACCAGGTAAGAGTAGCATGGCATAACAGAGAAGAGCAAGTAGTCTAGTGATCCAGCGGTAGCCTACCCTGAACGAGCAAATGATTAGACACCAAAACAACTACTCAAGTAAAGAAAAAAAGCTCAAAATTCAATTCAAACATGCATATCAATAACATGAAAGTCATACCAAGTACAAGATAGTAACAACCAGAACTTGAAACAACAAATCGAGCCCAAATAAGAAGGCATCCTCTCGGAAGTTTATTTATCATTGAACTATTTTTTTATATTCCATATCCAATAATCATGACAATCAAGCACCATTGTTTGACTTTCAAATTAGCTTAAGTTAAACTTAACGACGAGACTTATTATCGTTTTTTGCATGTCCCTGGAACTTTAGAGTTAGTGCAAATTCGCCTAATTTATGACCAACCATCCGATCGGTTATGTAAATGGGCAAGTGAAGTTATCATTGCTTCTAAGTGAAACACCACACCATTTAAAAAGCCTTATTATATCGAAAAGGAAACACACACACACACTGGTAGTGAATTAGTGATCAACTGAACATGCCTCTAATGAAAACTTTCCATTATCACACATCTTTTCTCCATTCAGTTGTACACTACCTTCACTACAAGTACCAACTTTCATATTTCCCCAATTCTCCAAAGCACGACAATTTATCCAAAGAACACCAAGATGTCTATTCACTTAAAATACCTATGTTAGCACATAACCATGGCCTTATGTATCTCTTCCATTCACCAACTTCACACCAATACATGTTTACTGAAACATACTCATAGGCATATCACATAGCCTTATTTACCAGTATGAAAACCATAATTCTCTTGTTGTCTCAATACACAACCAAATATTTGAACCACTTCACAGGAAAAATCAATCATATATTCACAAAATTACCCAAAAATCATGCAATTGAAAAAACTCTTATTAGCAAGAGTAGTCCAGGACCCACATACACACAATAACATGTTACATACTTACATGGTCACAATCCCTCGTAAAATCACAACTAACACTGAATAATAGAATAAGTGAATATAATAGCAACATTATAAATGCTAACCCGTGACAACTTTTTCCGGACATTACAAGATAGTAAAACGTAATCTAAGACAATCCCATTAAATTAAATACAGAAAACAAACAATTCATCAAAATCAATAAATTTAAAAAATATGGAAAAAAAATACCCAAGATAGCGAAGAAGCTTGAAACTAAGACCGGTAATCAGGTAAGTCTCAGCAGCAGCATGCTCAAAATACTGCCGAAACGACGATTGCCTTGACAATGATTTGTTCCCAATACCGGAAATTCTCCGGCGGTGACGGTCAATTAGCGGTTCACGGTCACCCATTTCGCTTCTTTCTCTCTCCTCTTTTTCTTCGAAGGTGGTTGTTTTGTTATTACCAAAAATGGAAACTTTTTCAGACCCCTCAAACGACGCCGTATCAGACTCCATTTTCGAAGTTTAGCAGAGAAACGAAACCCAGGAAAATGGATCGATTTTATAGGAAGGGAAAAAAAAAAAGGACGAATCTTGTTTGAGCGAATCAATAGCTGTATTTTTTTGTGGGTCCAAATTAATTTTCGTGAAAAAATAAAAAAAAATTCTTCGTATGTTTTTTGAGAGAGAGTTTTTGTGTGGGGCACGTGGAGGTGGGGCCATTGTGTGGAGACGTGTGATCATTGCAAGCCAAAAAAAAAAAACAAAAAAAAAAAAAAACTTGAAAGCAAAAGCAAAATTGTTGAAGGCAATTCTAGAGAAGTTGAGGGTGTGATCTATAATCTATTCATACCACTCATAAAGTTTTTGAATCTTGAAGATTTGTTTGTAGCCAAGTTTTATAAAGTTATATTAAGTTATAAGCTTGTATGTGCTTTGTATTTGTGTTGGACTTCTATTTGTGTTAATTGCACGTGTATTGTATACAATTAAGTTTGGTGTGTTTTTTCTTGTGAAAATAAACCTTAATGGAAACTCATTGGGCATGTGATTCTTTTACTCTTCACTTTCACTCCCAAATAATCTTGTGCACTAATCTAAGTCAGATTGATCTATGATCTCTAAATCATTATATAGAAAAAACAAGAATTGTATACATATAACTTTATATTAAGCCTTTTAATTTACAAAACTTAGGAAGTGATTTAAGAGTATTAGTTAAAAGCAAACCTAAGGGCTTGTTCTCATTTACTGAACTCAGCTGAACTAAACTGAACTGAACTGAATTGAGCTGAACTGAGTTGAACTGAACTGAACTGAACTGAACTGAATATTTTATAAGAGACAGAAATTAGGAGCTGAACTGAACTGAACTGAACTAAGCTGAACTGAACTGAAATGAATATTTTATAAGAGAAGGAAATTAGGAGCTGAACTGAACTGAACTGAGCTGAATTGAACTGAACTGAATTTCAACGTAAGAGAACATGCCCTAAATCACTATATACTTTTTGGGTAGAGGGAGAGGGGTATACCATAAACCCAATAAGTATTTTGTTCTTATTTTGATAATTGTTTTTATTTAATCATCAATTAAAGAACTAAACTAATCTTAAATTAGTTGGATATATGATATATCCGAGTGTATATAACAAATTTTAGACATAGGGGTTCCAGCATTGGCTTTGGGGTCTTTGGTTGGTTTCTCAAAGGATGCTTTTAAAAAAAATAAAAAATAAAAATAAAAAGGAGTAAAAGTTAAGCATGACAACGAAATAGTATGTAGCTTTAGCAATGTTCCAATGTAGCATGCTTCCATAAACAAAACTCATGCAGATTTACTGAAAAGGAGGAGTAATCAGACCACTGACGACACCCATTATAAATCCCACCGCTCCATGTCCATTTCTTGTTTTCTATACCTAATATTATTATGACATACTTGTAATTAACTTCGAAAAAACTTTATGTACACTAACTTGAAAAGTATTGGAATTTGTTGTTGAAGCTACTAAAAAATCTATAATTGAAAAGTAGCTTGCGGGATGTTTATGTAAAATAAGTTGATGAAATTGGATTCTAAAATGCATAATGATATGGTAGTTAGTGGTCTATACTCTAGGTCAGGTAGCCAACTTTGAAGTTGATCTAATTCGTGAGTGTAACATGGTACCTTGATGCATGGTACGGTAGTTATCGATCTATACTCTAAGAGTCTAAGTCAAGTGCGATATTGTTAGACTTAGAGTCCGTGGGGTGATTTGGAGCTCAAATTAGAGCCCAATTATATAATCCAATTTTTAGACTACTTAGAGGTGAGTTTTGAGAGACCGTAGAAATTTGATCATCGCATTTGCTCATCAAAAGCTATTTTACGTAGGCTCGACTCATGTCTAACTTTATAAGTAATCAAAATTTAATGGCCTTCTAAACTCAAAAAAGAAGAAACACACGTTCTACTCATACATAAGTTTAAGGGATCAAATAAGATAATGAGTAAATCTAATGCCAGTATATATATGTTAAAGGCTTTTAGGAAACAAATTTAGAAAGATGTTCAAACACATACTAATTAACACATGAATGTCTACAAAGGTATAAAGAAAAAAAATTCTGTTTAAATTACTATAATTACTTGCTACCTATAATGTATATCGAAATATCGCCTTTTATTAATTTTGTTCTAAACATGTCAGAAAACACAATGAGCATAGAAAAAAGGTCTTTCACTCGTGAAATATTGGACTCCACCTAATCATGAAAGTTTAAGATCTTTACACAATGAGTGTTGTTTAATTTTAAGTTAAAGAAATCCAAACTCGAAATCATCATAATCAAATATCATATAAAAATCCGTCATTTAATCTCAAAAATTTTAACTCCATCTATATCCGAAAGTTTAAAATTTTTATCAAACCTCACCGGACCAACCCGTTTGACAATCCTAATAACCTAGTAATCACACTTTGAACGGATCAACCATTCAACCCCCTCCATGAATCCATGAGTCCAACCCCTCAAGCCCATCGAAGTTGCTCAAAGTCCAAATTTCAGATTCAGTTCCCTTCTATTCTATTTATCTCTTCTTTTCCCTTAACTCAGAAGAGAGAGAAAGAGAGAGAGGTCGTGAGTCAACTGCGAACAGCAAAAAAATCACTCTTTCACCATAATTTCTAGTAGAATCTCAAATTTTGTGGAAAATTAATAATAATGGGAGAGGAAGATGAAGGTGTTGATGCGCAAAAGTTGAAAAGAATCGCAGCAGCTTCATACGATTATGAGAGAGATCCCAGATGGGCTGATTATTGGTCCAACATTCTCATCCCCCCTAATATGGCTTCGCGTTCTGATGTTGTTGATCATTTCAAGCGCAAATTCTACCAGCGTTACATCGTATATACTTATACCCCTTTTCAATTTTAATCAAATTATTCAATTTTCATGTTTTTGATTCTTTATACTATGTTTAATTTTCAATTAGAGTAGTTTTTAGTTTGTGGGTATTGTACAATTTGATGTTTTGGGTGATGGGTTTGCTTAATTTAAAGGGTTTTGTTTCATATACTGGCTTTTGGTTGCTGGAGTTTCATAATTTGATGGTTTTATGGTTAAAGTTTGTGCCTTTGTTTGGATTTGGATGCTATTGTGTTCTGTAATTTGATTTTGGTTTATTGGTAATCCCTAATTTTTTGGGGCGTTTGTGGTTTGTGTGCTGATTTTATTTTTACTATTTTTGGATGCTGATCATACTCAAAAATCGATTGGTTGAAGTTGGCAGAATCATGGGTTTTTAGTGAACCTTTGAATTTCAACATGTATAATTAGCTTGAGTTTAATCATGTAAGGGGTTAAAGATGGCGTAGATTTGTTCATTCAGTTACTCATAATTGTCCTTCTATTGTTCATAGCAAACTTCGAAATCGACTTTTGAGTTGCTTTTGATGAAACTACTTGCGTAATTCTCAATTTGTATCCTTTCTTGTGAGCTAGGTTATTTGGTGTATGACGACCTCTTTTATACTTAAATGACATTCTTTTTTATGTTTAGATGTTCCAATAAAGCACTTGATGATAACATCATATTCAATTGGAAAATTACTGGTGATCATGGAGGTCAAATGTTTTCAATTGTTCGTGGGATTCATGTCTTGACTAGAAATTGTTGGCATAGCCATGAACAATGGGTTTAAAGAGTGGTATTAATTTTGGGGGTCAAAAGGTCAAATGTTTTCAATTATTCGTGGTATTTATATCTTGACTTGAACTTGTTGGCATAGCCATGAACAATGGGCTTAGAGAGTGGGATTAATATTAAAGCTTTCTTAACAATTGTCAAAGTTGCCTAATGAAGAAAAATTAAAGGAAATATATACAAGGAGCCTCCCAGTGAATAAGGCATAGCAAGAAAAATTATAGAATTGCTGTTCAGGTTGTCTTATTCTATCATGCCATATCTTAGTTACATTGTCGAGTATACTTTGGGCCATTAAAATATTTAGCAGTTTATCTATTTTTTGTCTTTGCTTTTGGGCTTGACATTGGTTAAGTATATGAATTCTTTCTTTGCGCTATGATGGGTCCTACTAATAAGGAGGTATATGAATTACATAATGTAGAGTTGTTGTACTAACAATATAGGATAAGCTTGATGAGTTTTTTTGCTATCTGTGGTGCTTTGTCTTATAGAAAAATAACTTTTGCTTTAAATAAATATGAACTTAATTTTTTCTTTCTGCTGCTGCTATGTACACTGTATCTGTTATATACATGAAAAATCTGTCATATTCCTGCATCTTGCGTATATGGTCTTTTATTATTCTTTAGTTACCTATTGTTGTCCAGTCTTGATGTTTTTTGGATGCTACTGCATTGCCAGGATCCTGGTCTTATTGTTGAGCCAATGTCTTCAACTGGTTCCTCTCAGCCAGTGAAACCATCATCTTCATCATCAGCATCAACACCTACAAGCGATCAAGTGAGATCTCGTAGCTCTGGTATGCTATGAAAGAAGTACTGGTAGATACTTTACATCCATCAAAAGTCATGTACATACACTGATAGTTCCTTTCATTTTCAGGCACTAGTACTAGAACCTCTGGATCTGGAACATCAACAACTCCCAGTCCTGGTCCAGCTCCAACTGCAATGCGCTGGGATAAGCAAACCATACAATTTTCTGTGAATGCCTGGGTATGCAAATTACTCAAAGGTCATTAAAATGTGTGTACCTTGTGTACAGACACATCAGGCTACTTCATGTTGCCAATATGTTAATTATCTTCCCTTCTGAAGTCAGAATTATAAAAGGGATCAGCTATATACGTTCACTTAGTTGATTTGTTGGTTATCTTGTTCCATATCTGCTTCTCTTAATTATATGCTGGTCCTTAATGCTAGAAATAAAAGTTAGCATGATACTTTATACATTGCAAATTTTGAAAAAAATCAAATATTGCCTGACATTTGAAACCATGGAGGCATCTGTATTTGAGAAAGATTACTTAACAGTAATACAGTGCTTTTATTTTCTGACATGAAGCTTAACTATTTTTAATTGCAGTGTCTATTTGGTAATATTATATACATTTTGCCCTTTCTTTGCAGGTGTTTGTCTTAGCCTTACTTTCAACCCTTCCCCTTATTCCTGCAAATCTTTCAAACAGGGCTTTTCGCCTATCTTTACTGGGCACTGCATGTTCATCATTATATTCTTTGTACTCACTATATGGGGTAAGCATATTTCAGTTTCCTCTCCTTTACTATATCTGTTTAATTACTCTATCTAATTCTCTGTTTGACTACTCTGCAGACCCCCAGGGCATGGAATATGCAGGCTGTTCAAATGTGGTTGCAGTCAATACTTGCAACGAAGGACTTTATTTACTTCATTTACTCCCTCATGTTTGTTACATCAAACTATTGCCTCCGGTGTGAGTGTCTGTTTATTGTTTGTTCATTAATGCACACATGTATGTTGCTATTACAGTTTCACCTGACGTGCTAATGTCAAAATATCTCGCAGTTGCTTTAATTCCCATTCTCTGCCGATCGCTAGAACATGTTGCCAAGTTTCTCAGGCGTAATTTCAGCAGTTCTACTCTATACAAGTAGGGAATTTTCATCTTCGCACTGGATTCATTGAATGTGTGCTAGTTTATCTGAATTGTATGGCTTAAGATTGGGTACAACCAAGCAGCTTGAGTTTATTGACACTTAATCTTGCTGATAAAGATTCAGAGCGTCAAAGGTTATAGTTAAGTTTAGGTTTGATTCATGCATTCATGTTATTGGTTTTCACTAAAGGATGCTAGACCAAAAACAAAGCAATAGGTCATCTGATCTGTGGATGGTTTGGTGGTTTTATACATTTTATTGTTTGATACTTTGAGCCCTTATTTGAGGAAAAGCATGATTTTATTTGTTTATGCTGAAGTTCAACTGAGGTTATGTGTTAGTTTTTGCCTTCTTAGATGTGGTGCAAGGCTTTCTCTTGTAGCATTGTTACATACAAAGTATATTTGTGGGGTCATGACAAGTTTTTATTGCTTAAGCTTTTGTGATTGCTGCTTGACAAGCGATAACACCTCATTGAAATTTATCTAAATCACTAAAAGTAGCCTGCATTGAAGTAACTTTATCATCAGCTTGATTTTATAGGTTATGTATTATGTTCAATCTAACTTACTTTACATGGATCATTACTGCTTTTCTAGTATTCCTGGACCAAATCATAATCATTTGTAGATTGTGGTGGTTCTAGAGTGTAAAGAGTTGAATTGATTGTTTTTTGGATGAAACTTTTCTCATTTAAATTTGTTGTTTCTTAACAGAAAATACTTGGAAGAGCTTTGCGTATGGGTGGAATCTAATGTAACCACCCTCAGCATATTGTCCTCACATGCTGAGGTTGGACTTGGTTTCCTTCTCATCATCTCCTTATTCTCGTGAGTTAGCTTTTCTTTTCATCACTTTCCCCCTTGTCAATTTCTCCATTCTATCTCTCATCCTATTCTGTTAACCAATAACCTTGCTTATATCCTTGCAGATGGCAGCGCAACTTCATCCAAATTTTCATGTACTGGCAGGTATGTTAAATTTGTAATTGTACTTGGTATAACATTTAAACACTTATATCTTTGGGTGGGGAGCCATGCTTAGCTTGCCTCCGCATACTTGTAAATTTGTAATGGAAGCTAACAATGTGCCTGAATTCTTGATGCAGCTGTTGAAGCTCATGTATCATGCCCCTGTTACCGCTGGTTATCATCAAAGTGTATGGACTAAGATAGGAAGGAGCGTCTCCCCTGTCATTCATCGCTATGCTCCATTCCTTGACACACCCATTTCTGTCATTCAAAGATGGTGGCTCAGGTAGACCTGATGATTGTTGATAGTATATCGTCTAAAGATTTTAAGTTCTTCCAGAGGCTTGATGACATGCAAGGATGAGGATTGAAGGAGCCAACCTAGTTAGATCGTGTGAAGGATTTTTTTTTTTAAAAAAATTTTGAGGGATCAATGGCTAGAATTTCTCTTTCTTAACACTACATTATCCTACCTTGATTGACTGACTTTAGATGTACTATTTTTGGGTAAGTTTTGGAATACGAGTACTAGTCTTTGATGAGAAATTTAACATACAGAATAGTCTTGAGATTTTACGACATTGATTGAAGCATTTGTTGGTTTCACCTTGCATTAATTTTTTGTAACCTACATGTTTCTACGATGGCTGTAAAGTCTCAACAGAAGATGTTCATCCAATAATTCATTCCTGTAAGATAGAATGATATTTCTGTAAAATTTGAGCTTTGATAATCTAGTCAATTTCAATTTTCAACCCAAAATGGAAAATGATTCACAAAAATCCCACACAAGACTTCCCAAGTACTTGCAACAAACTACAATTTATAGCTACGCATCATATTCTTCTAACCAGTACAAGTAATTAAGATTAGTGTGATCAAGTAATTAACGACCATATCTCCTCACTACTGGAACGCTTTATAACAAGTTTTGCACCATTTGGAACTTTATCTCCGAGCTTCCTAGCACGGATGGCGGCATCTTCATTCAGCTCCATAGACCACAATGAGGTCACATCCAAAATTACTTCACTGAGAATAACAGAATTCGCCAACACATATGTGATAAGTTCATCATCAAGGCGACTTCCATAGTAACCAAAAACCTCTAAAGTCTTTAAGCATCGGAGAGGGCATCCTTCACGCTTATGAAATTCCCATGAGGGCTGACCTGAACCCTCAAGCTACAATAAAAAAAGAGGTGTATAGAGTTAATAAAATCACAGCATTTGACAAACGATCCAACAAATTAATGAATGACTAAGTAGTCAGATACATATATAACGAATGGAGAAAAAAAAAAAAGGGGAAAGAGAGGTCGTAAGTAAAGCAAAAACAGAAATGTTCAACTATTGGGACACATTTTATAGGAAAATGTCCAAACGTAGATGGATAAAGGGAGTAATTTCACAAAAAAGAGAAAGATCATATTCGATGTGTGGTGAACAAGATAATGACAGCAACAATGTAAGTAAAGATTTGCGAATATTGCTCAAGGCAATACAATGGATAATAAGCTAGAAGAAACTGATTATTCAAGCTGTATTAGATCAATGTCACAACATATAATTAAACTCTTAACATCACTAACCAAAAGCATGAGCAAAGGGAAGGGAAGGGTGACTTGCCTTCAGAGTCAGTTTCTGCAGGATAGGACAAGCCTTAATCAGAGGGATCCATCCGAGGAGGGATTCGTTAAAATCAGCCAAAACATACAGCTCAAGATGCTTCAGATCTGGGAAGGCAGGTGAGTGCTCAATCGCTAGATTATTCTGCATAAAAAGAAGTCAACAGTAAGCATACACATAAACACAGAAGCTGCAATAGCACAAGACATGTTGAATAGAATAACAAAGCTAACCCCATGAATAAAGCGCATCCGCAGTTGTAGATACTTCAATTGTGAAAGATATATTGCCAAAGGTTCAAAAGCATATGCTACTTTGACATGCCTATCACCACCAACAGATAGCTCCAAAAATGAGGAGGCACTTCGAATATTGAACTCAATAGGGTCACCAAAATATGTTAACGACAAGAGCTTTGGAGCAGATACATCAATTGTTTGCATTTTAAAGCAGTATAAAACTGTTAAATGCTTCAAAGGTAGTGACAAGGAAGCAGAGGTTACACTAGTTAAAATTTCTGAAAACTCGAGCCACAGATTCTCAAGGAGCTGGCAGGAATCCAAAAGAAGCGTCACAGTTTCATTTGAAACATTAACATAATTTAGATGCAGAGATTTTAGGGTAGGCTTAAAGTCAACTGTGTATAGATACTTAGGAGGTAAGAAGCTTTTATTACCAGGACGTCTTCGGTAGATCAACAATGCAGGAAAAAAGTCTAATTCGAGCTTATTGAGTTCCCTAGCCGTTGCAAAATTCACCCACTTATCAATATCAAATTTGCAAAGATTATCCAAATCAAATTTTATCCTCATTTCATCAATATCACCCAGAGATTGTTCCAAGACACGATTCACAAAGCTAATAAAACAACATCTTTCCCAGTCAACTATCTCATCCTTGCTCATCGAAACTTTGATCCTCTTCATCGCCCTTGAATCTTCGAAGTTCAGCTTGGGAACATACTTCCGCAAGCACATCCATCTGTGGGAAAGAATACAAGTTTGAACAGCTTCCTTTATTGTCAGAAACGACAATATAAGCCCCAAAACTTGATTGGGAAGCTTACTCAGACAATCATTTGTCTCGTAATCCTGAGTGGTTGTAATTGAAACATAAGATTAAAATCAAAACCACAAGATCAAACAAGAAAGGATAACTTCAAACGAGTAGACGCTGCACGCAAATGCCATCAAAGTAGCACTATAGACAAGTACATGATATGAGGGGGAAAAAATGCACCTTTTGGGATTCATAAACTGGCCTTGCTTAAAACTTGTCCATCAAAACACGAAACTAACACCACCAAGGTAAGATTGTGCTGTTAATACAACCTATGAATGCACACAATAAAACAGGTCCTCCATCAAAACCATTCGGATTAAAATCATACTTGAGAGACACATTAAAGCCTTTAGAAGCTAAATTATGATTATATTCATAAGACTTTAGAAGCAAAAGCACCATTATATTCACAAGACTTTAGAAACTAAATCTGCTACTTTGTAAGTTATACTATCAAAAACCAACTACTAAATAGTTGTATCAAAGAATAAATTTGACGCTGGTTCATAAAAATCATTAGTAATTCAATGAGAAATAAAAATATGAATGATTGAGCTATAATATTAAAATAATTCATACCCTAAGGTGCTCGTTTACATACAATTAGTGGCGGATCATGAATTTGGGGAACAGGGTACCAACACAGCAAAATATATTAAAGTAATTCAATAAAAAAAAAAATTACATTATTCATATTACAAATCCTATCATGAAAACTTAAAATTAAGGAACTCATACTTGAAAGTTAAATTTTTTTTAATTTGGGAGATTGGAGCCTTAAAATTCTTCTGAGCTTAAGAATATCTACGTGATTTGGTGATTGAAAAATGGTAGCAACAAAATTCCATAATTGAGAAATTATAACCAAAAGTTGAACAAACCACCTTCAAAGAATCCTAAATTGACTATAATCAAAATCAAAATCAAAATCAAATTAACAAAACCCTAGTGAAATTGAACTTCGATGATTAAAAATTTACCTCAGAAGCCGTTTCAATGATAGAGAGAGGGTAACTCAAACTCGGAGAAAAGGGATTATTAATGTGTATTTTTCTAAGTAATAAATATATATATAAATTAATAAATAGTTGATGCAACATAGTCATGCCTTTAAAACAATGTCGTATGGCTTCTCTTTTCTGGTTGCTACCTCCGTGCCATGGCTGCCTTGTGCTCTAGCTTTGATATCGTCTGATCATACTCTTTCTTGTTAAACCGCAGTGATTGCTAGATGAAATAAAACGTGTCATAATCACTGCATATTCCCAGAATCCAGAGGTATCGCTGAAAGTGGCTCTTTCGGTCCCTACTCTTCCTAATTAACATCCCAAACACTACTCAAATTACACTCCTGAAATACATTTTGAATGAAGATACAGCTGACCTACATGTATAAAACACTCATGCTCTTAGGCCTTAACTTCAGCTAAATGCAAGCTGCTGGTGCTTTTGCATGGAAGTGGGTTTCCAATCTCTGCATCATCACATTATAGAAGTGCAAACTATCATTCAGAGCATTCTAGGATGTCTATCAGAATCTGAAGTAAAACAAGCCGCGTGAGAGCTTTAGCTACACGCAGAGAACAGGAAGTCTTCCACAAGTGTTTGGAAATCGAATTCTGATAATGTTGTCTAGAAAGAATCAAGTGCTGCGAAAGTTCCATACATATGCATATCAATTCAAGGCAATTGATTACTTTTGTGCAATAATTCTTGTAAGCAAAAGAGTGACTAAGCCTTTTCAGGTCACTTCCTGATTGATTTGATGTAAATTCACCTGTGTTATGTGATGTACACAGTGAATTAAGGAGTTGGAAAAGAGTTCTCAAAATGCAAGTCTAAAGTGCACAGATAACCATAATACATTTTAAACCAATAATAAGCTTAGCTTCAGTGGCATGCTTGGGTTTCATCGCAAAAAACAAAGGTGCAAGTGTGACAGGCATCTGATGAACTTTCAGAAGGGAGTGGCAATGCGATATTAAGACAGTCTGACAAAAAAATTGGCATAGCATAGCCTGACATCTGTGACACCATGATTCCTCACGATTCTGAACAAATGATACTAGGTGCAGTAGATATCAATGCTTTACATTTAATCATGCACAAGTCCCTTGAGCATAGGGAGGCCGAGGCTTGTAAGTATGATACAAAGCTGAGGGCAATATGAGGTGCAGTAGAAAGGAGATAGGGAGGTAAGCACCCTTGCAGTGATTGACAATGTGAAAGTGACAGCTGCTCGAGGTGTGGGAATGCCACCATGTAACCACTTGTTCCAGGAAATAAAAAGAGAGAAAGGAAGAGTAGTTGTTATTGCAGGAAAAGGATTCTAAGACTGTCCATCAAAAACAGGTTCTACCTTGTTAATACTGTCCATTCTTTCAACTGAATCAACTCAAATTAAAGCTCCAGCGAGCTTTCGCAGCTCACACAACCCTTCAAACTTGTGCATTTGAAAAATCTATGACACACCCAAAGAACACATACTACAGGAATCAAACAGTCCTAACTCAACAAATACGCAAATAGTCCTTTATTTGTTATGTTTATGTAAGGAAACAGAAATGTTAGCAGAAATTCCAAGGATTTCATATAATCCTTCTCCTGTTGATTCAATACCAAAGAAAAGTTGAACAGCTAAATGAGAACATTCAGAAGTTCCAGCAGTCAAAGAATTGACCCTTAACACTGAAATTATATGACAATCAGCAATTCGCGTTATTTGCAAGTCATAAAATCCTTGCTACATAGTATAACTCAGGTGTATAATTCGGCTGAAATGAAACAAAATGCTCATTTCTAAGAGGATTAAACTAGGGCAATCAACACACCAAATATGTAACATAAATTACCAAATACTGAAATTATTACTATCAAAATATAATGCTTCTCATTCATTTAACACCAGTACAGTGTTGAAAATATAATGCTTTTGATTAGTGATGTTAAGAGTTTAATTATTTGTTGTGATATTGATCTAATACAGCTTGAATAATCAGTTTCTTCTAGCTTATTTTCCATTGTATTGCCTTGAGCAATAGTCGCAAATCTTTATTTTCATTGTTGTCATTATTATGTTGTTCAACACGCATTGAATGTGATCTTTCTCCTTTTTTATGAAATTACTCCCTTTATTCGTCTACGTTTGGACACTTGCCTCTAAAATGTGTTCCAATAGTCATCCTATGTGGTTAGATTCTTTCATATGTTAATTTGTGATGTTCGTTAATCTTGACTTCAGACCACCCTTGAGAAAAAGGTTCCTTCACCTTTTCCTAACCCCTTGTCAAACGAATGTGATCATCAAAGTTCATTAAGAGACAAATGGAGTACTACCTTCCGGCTGTGGATATGCTTGTGATCAGAGCCACCTTTTGTTATGCTGTCTTGTCATTGAACTTAAATATGTGCTGTAAAATACTGGCCTTCTTTTGTTTGTTCTTTGTAGCTTAAGATATTGATAATATCATACAAAGTATTCAGTGTTTTGATGAAGTACTTTGTATCCCCATTTTCTTGCATGCGTAAAAAATGTTCTTTTCTTTCAAAAATATTAACTTGTTGGATCGTTTGTCAAATGCTGTGATTTTATTAACTCTATACACCTCTTTTTCTTATTGTAGCTTGAGGGTCCAGGTCGGCCCCATTGGAATTTCATAAGCGTGAAGGATGCCCTCTCCGATGCTTACAGACTTTAGAGGTTTTTGGCTACTACGGAAGTCGACTTGATGATGAACTTATCACATATGTGTTGAAGAATTCTGTTATTCTCAGTGAAGTAATTTTGGATGTGACCTCATTGTGGCTTATTGAGCCGAATGAAGATGCCGCCATCCGTGCTAGGAAGCTCGAAGATAAATTTCCAAATGGTGCAAAACTTGTTATAAAGGGTTCCAACAGTGACGAGATATGGTCGTTAATTACTTTATCACACTAATCTTAATTACTTGTACTGGTTAGAAGAATATGAACTGTAGTTTGTTGCAAGTTCTTGGGAAGTCTTGTATGCGATTGTTGTGAATTGGTGGGAATTTTAATATTTGTTTTCGATTATGGCTTGATATTGACTAGGATATCAAAGCTCAAATATTATAGGAATATCGTTCTGTCTTATGTTCATATTAAAGCTTCGTTTCTGGGAGTGGATTATTGAATGGAAATTTCGTTATTGGAAGAGCCATTATTAGCAGCCTTGTTGTGGTTTTTTAGCTTGCGTATCAAGGCATTGTTTTTATGATACTAGGGTCCTAACTCGTAAGACTCGTAAGGTAATTAAGTGTTAATAGTTAAGAAATTGTGTACATGCTAAAATGAAGTACCGTTTGGAGGTAACATTGCTTGCCTTTGAAATTGGTGCATAGCGCCTATTGATTTCAGCGCATATAGGATGATAATTTAGCAATTAGTTAGAACTTATAGGATGGTAAAAAGTATCACTATACTCGTAATTGTAATGTAATAATGTAAGCCATAAATGCAGCTTGCTTATAAGCAAAAATTATTAAAGTCCTAAATATCTACAAATCGCAATGGAGAATTATGAAGAATTAAATGTTAACTTTCCGTAAGATGTAATTTGCTAATAACTTTCTTTCTCTATATATATATACCGTTGCTAATTATAATAATTATACGATTTTACCATTTTTTAATACATAAACTAGTGTGTACCCCGGGCGATGCCCCGGGTTGCTAGTTTGTGTAATTGTTGCTTTAATTTAACAATTATGTTCGACTATTTGTGTAGTTAGTGTGTGTAGTGGTTCGGGCATTGCCTTGAATGTCACCTTTTTTTTTAAATCATATGTATTAATATTTTAATCTTGTGAAAATAAATGAATTATATTACTCCCTCCGTTTTTAAAAACTTGCTTCATTTCTCCATGCGCGGAGTTTTAGGAGAAAATAATAATATATGGATGTAGTGGGGTAAGTGGAAGAATATAAAATTGTAAAAAGCAAAAGTAGTGGAGAGAATTGGAGGAGAGAAAATATGTGTTGGGTCTACTAGGTGAGAGAAATTAGTTAAATATTGTAAAAACTTTCTAAATAAGGAAATGGAGCAAGTATTTAAAAATGGCCGAAAAGGGAAAGTGGAGCAAGTATTTAAAAACGGAGGGAGTACTTAATAAATGAAAGGAATATTATAATATTATGTGATACTTAAAACATTAATAATAGTTAGTTGAGATGGTAAAAGTATTATCTATATATATTGGAGGTTATGAGTTCGAATCTTCTTGAAAGCATATTTGTATTACACTACTAGAAAATAGCTTGCTTCCGACGGACCCAATATTCCGTCGGAAAAAAGGAAATTTACGACGGATTTTTTTTTCGTCGGAAATTTCCGACGAATTCATCGATTCCGTCAGAAATTTCCGACGGAATAAATATCCGTCAGAATTTTTGTATTTTTCAACGGAATTTTCCGTCAGAAATTACCTTTTCCGACGGATTTATAGTCCGTCGTAAGTTTCCGACAGAATATTCCGTCGGAACATAGTATTTTTTAAAAAAAAAAAACCATTTCCGCTACAAAAACCCTAAACAAACTTGAGAAGCAACCCGCCTCTTTTCTCTTCTCCTCTCCACTCTCTCTCTTCTCCCTTTATGTTCCTCTGCTTCTCTCTCCTCTCGTTCTCCTCTCTCTTCTCCCTCTTATCTTCGTTCTTCTCTCGATCTCCTCTCCTCCTCTCTAGATCTCTGTCTTTCCTCTTCTCTCTGTTCTCTCTCCTCTCGTTCTTTCCTCTTCTCTCTGTTTTCTCTCCTCTCGTTCTCCGTACTTTCCCCTCTTTCGACCACCACACCACGGCATCAACAACAACACAACCACCGTCATCAAACACCACTGTCATCAACGACCAACACGCAAACGGCATCAACCAACTACTTGAAAGGTTTTTTAGGCCAAATTCGGCCATGAAAAGTTTAGATCTACACTTTTCATGGCCGAATTTGGCCTTATTAAACCGTTTCCGTGTTGAAATTCGAAGCATATTTCAATTTCAGGTACGTTTTATGTTTTAATTTTTCGATTTTTGTTTCCGATTTTTTTTTTTTTTTAAATATGGATTTCGGTGGTGGTGGTGGGTGTGGCTGTGTGCGTGCGTTTAGCATTTGTAGTGGTTTATGGTGGCTGTGAGATCTGGGCTTAGGTGGGGTCGGGTTCGGTCGGGTCCGGGTTAGGGTTTGCGTGTTTAGGTGGGTGGATCTGGGTATGGGTGAGGGTGGGGTATGGGTGTTTTGGTTAGAGTTCGGTCAGGGTGAGGGTAAAGTGGTGGTGGTGCTGTGGATAGGTTAGGGTGGTTGTGGTGGTGGTGCTGTGGATCTGGGTGTGGGTGGGGGTGGTGATGTGGATAGGTTAGGGTTAGGAAGTGGGTGTGGTTGGGGTTGACAGGGGTGTTTTGGGTGGTTGATCTGGTGGTTGTCGGTGTTAGATCTGGTGGTTGTGGGTGGTGGGGTGGTTCTGGACTGCTGATGTTGGGTTTTTTGGTGGTTGGAGGTGGTGATACGCCGTGCCCGTGGTGGCGCGGCGTATTTTTTTTAAAATTTCATAAAAGCAATTTCCGACGGAAATTCCGTCGGAAATTTTCGACGGAATTGAATCCGTCGGAATTTTACGACGGATTGTTGCAGTACCTGAAAATATTTTTCCGTCGGAATAGTGTTTCCGACGGAATTTTCGTCGGAAAAGTTCATTTTTCCTACAACATATTTTCCGACAACCTCTTCCGACGGAAACCCTATTTCCAACGGATTTCAGGGTGTTTGCGACAAAATTTTTCCGTCGGAATTCAGCCTATTTCTAGTAGTGTTATTCAAAAATAATTAAAAGTAGTATAGATGTAAACATTACTATTAACAATACTAGAGTGTACCCGTGCAAAATGCACGGGATATATATTTTATAGAAAGATATTACAAAGATCTAATAACAAAAATATATTTTAAATACGTGAAGTTATTTGTGATATAGTAACTTGCTCTTTTACGTGGCTGAATACACCGTGTAGCTAACTATTATGGAAGTTATTTTGTCAATGTTATAGGGATTATTCAGTCAATATTTTAAGGGTTACTCGTTCAGCTATATAGTTGTTATCCTGTTAGTGTTATAAGGACTGTGCGTTTTGTGTTATAGGGGGTTACTCTGTCAATATTATAATGGGTTATTCCAGTGCCACTACTGGGATGTCGGAAAAAAAAAATTATGTATATATTTTTTTTCCGATGATTATTGAATTAATAATAAGGTAGTTAGTTGATTTTAAAAAATATAAATAAACAATTAGAAAAAATTTTAAAAAGGAAAATAGTGGAACTTATGGTGGCGATATTATTTAAAAAAAAGTGCAGGTACTTTTGGAAAAAAATGTGCAATTATGGTAATATTGGTGTTTCTAAAAAAAAAATTAGACAACGTAGGTAGTTTTTTTTGGAGGGTTTTTATTTTTTTTTTTCAAAAAAAAAAAAGACAGGTGGAAGTTATTTATAGGGAAAAAAAAAAGGGGGGGGGGGAGTGAATGAGAATTGAGAGATTGGGTTTTGGAGTGTTGTGGTTAAAAGTTGGAAAAACCACTCTACAATTATAATATAGATGACTCACAAAAAGTAGTGTCAAATTTTAGGTCTATAATAATTTATTGTAGACCGGATCCATACAAGACTAATTGCTTATATATTACGCGCTTCTTATTGACCTTAACCTAGCATTGAGTCGTTGACTCCTACCAATCTACCATAAACATCTTACAACCCATTCAATAAATATCTCTTAATTAAGTTTAAGTAGTGTACTTAATAGAGAAAACAGTTTAAGACAATGACACATACAAAATGACATTTTATAGTATATTTATTAACGAATTGCCTTCAAAGTTACTATTCTTTAGAAGGCACCAAATGCATGTAAGATTTTTGTTGCACATTTTTTTTTACCACTTTTGTCCTTTTTTACCAATAAATAACTAAATTCTCCTACCCAAAGAGTAAAGAGCAATTTGCCAAATTGTATAAATGAATAATGAATGATGGCCCTCAAATAAAAAACTATAGTATATAAATTAAATTAAATAATTAAAAAAATGGATAATAAAAGTGATTCTTATCCTCATAAAGTCATGCATTAGCTGAGCAGAAGGATGCACTTAAACGAGAGCAGGCAGCTCATCTGATTGCAATATCTGATCTTGAGAAGAGGGAGGAAGATCTAAAGAAGGCATTGGGTGTGGAGAAACAGTGTGTTAAAGATGTAAGATTTGCACTCAATTACTCATTTTACCCTTCGAAGATGAGCCTATGCATTTCAGATATCAATTTGCTTTCTGCCTTTTGTGCTAAATTTGCTTTATTGTTCATTTAGTTTAAACTTGCATTATGAATTATCAATTGGAGCTTTAATGGCATATATCAAACTAGTCATATTTCAGATTTGTGTGCGTGCTTCTGAGTTTGCAGTCCCACCTTATGACTCCTGTAATTTCTTTGGTGTTAGTGGCTGCTTTTTTACAACTCTCTTATTGTCAGTCTGTCATAGACAAACACATTTAGATTTCAGACATTTGGTGGTCAGAATATGCTGAAATTAAATTTACAGCTGATTCAAAATCTTTAGAAGTTGAAGCGAAACTGCGTGCGGCTGACGTTAAGTATGCAGAGGCAAGCAGAAAGAGCTCTGAAATAGAGAGAAAATTACAAGATTTAGAAAGTCGAGAAAGTGCTCTTCGAAGGGAGCGATTGTCTTTTAACTCAGAGTATGTGTTATATCTCTTATATAAACGGCTATGCTAATGTTTTGTGCTCAATATAACCTAACTAATATATTATTGTTCTTTTCAATAGGAAAGACGCGCATGATGCTACTTTGTCTAAACAAAGAGAAGACTTGCTGGAATGGGAGAGGAAGTTACAAGAAGGAGAAGCTCGGAGAATCCTTAATCAAAGGGAAGAGAGAGCCAATGAAATTGATAAGGGCTGCAACCAAAAAGAGTTAGAACTGGCTGAGGTACAAAAGAAGATAGATAAAGCTAATATGGTTTATGCTGGTTATAGAGTTGCCACAGGCGCAGCTGTAAAAATAGCATCTGATGCAAGTAAAGGTAATGGTGAAGAAGATGGACAAAAGGAGATTCTAGATGGAAATTCAAAACCTGGGCCCTCACATTCAGCCGGAGTCGCTAGTGAAGATGGTGCAACGAGTATAAACTTGATGGAGGTGAGGACTATTGTTTGCAATCTTGTATTGTTGCTTTTTCTTAAGCAAATTCTTATCTCAAGTACAGACAAAGAATGTCTATTTGTACCATCTTAGTGATTTTTTTTCATCACTGACAGGTTCAGGTTGAGGAGACAAACATATACACTACTCCTGTACCTAAAATGAAGGTCAAAAGCATTGTGCAGAGTGAAGAGGTAAATGGAACTCCTGATAGACATGGTGAGTATGGTGATGAAGATGGTAGTATTGCGGAGGAAGAGGATGATGATGACGATGATGATGAAGAGGCTGAGCATCCAGGTGAAGCTTCAATAGGAAAGAAGCTGTGGAAATTCTTGACTACATGATGGCACATATAGAAGCATCAATTATCAGCTGATTCAGCGTTTGTTCTTCAATTTCGTCACCATTGATTATTATCCCCTCAATTCTTCCATTCGGGAATGTCCATGTACTTGTGTATTAGCATATTGAACCTAGAGTTGTGAGCCACGGAATCTCTATACAAAGTTTTAGGAAGAGTTCCGTTTAGTCTGTGTCTTGTGCTTTCTGGTAGGAGTAATGGGATGTCTTCTGTCTATTATTTACAGAAGCTTAGACGAGTGTAGTCGTGGGCCTGTGCGTTTTTTTTACGCAGGACTTAGCTTACCACATTTTTTAGTGAATTTCAAATTTGTTTGTATCATTGGTTTGGAGATGATTGAAATCTTTTGCTCATTTTGTATTCTCTTGCTTAATTCTCCCTATGTGAAGACTTTTGCTCTAATTGTCGATACCTTGACCTGTGTTCTATCCTCTTTACCAGCTTGGCTATCCTAGGAGAAGTTTACGAGTTAAAAGCTTTGGAGTTTGATGTTATTGAGTAGGGAAAAACTGTAACTTGAAAATTTTACGCATACAAGGAAGCTGGTTAATTTATACAAGTACGAATTAAAATTAAGGACTATGATAAAATGACACTAAAATTTAAGCTAATGTAATGATAATCATGAAATTATTACTCCATTTTTGATTTATTCCAAACTGTGTTAAAAAAACAATGAAGTTGACTTTAGTAATTGTGATTTATGGTTATATAATCCATAAATCAGAATAATACAGATTTGTGCTGTAACCCAAACAGCTTACCAAAGGCCACTTCTTCACCACAGTTGACATTCTGATCTCATAATCATTTTCATTTGCTTGATTTGAGCAGCTATTGATCGTCGAAGAATCAAACATGGAGACCGGAGATGTATTTGTCGCGGCATCTGTTCAACTAGTTATCGAAAAACTGGCATCTGTAGGGGTGAGTCAGTTTGTTGTTGAAGGTGGGGTAAAACAACTCAAAACAGACTGCTTTCAAGAATGGGAGAAAATGCTAAGGATGATCGAACTGCAGATTTACAAGACTTGGCTTACGATTTGGAGGGTATTTTGGATGACTTTGTTGCTCAAACTCGAGAACTTCATGAGTTGAACAAGGATATTGGATGTAATAATGTTCTTGGGTCAATTAGAAAAAAAGTGTGTATTGATCTATCTCAGCTTTCTTCTTTCTTTCTTCCTTTATTTTATCCTGTTCTATGATTTTGTTTTTATTTACGAATTTTAATGGACGGTCAGGTATTAATGGGGAAGAAAAAAGGATTTTCGAATCATGTAAATTATTTTGCTTGTTGAAGTGTTATAAACAGAAGATGAGTACTACAGGAAAATAATGAAAAGAATTTTTCTACTTGTGATTAGGGGAGTTTAAACTATATCTGATATCCTCGTATTTATATAGATCAGATTCGTTTGTATTCATAAATGAAATTTACTAAGAATCATATTATTAGTTGCTGAACTTCAGCCATTAATAAGAGAGCCTAAAAATCTAAAATGGTGCAAAGAAACAGACCATCCTCACAAACGAAAGGCTTTCTTAAGCTGATTTGAGCAGATTGGTACTTATTTCACTAACATGAGTAGCCGAGTAGGCTGTGTATTCGTGTTCCACACTACCTCGGTCATGTAAGCTCAAGTTTCTCGTTGTGATCCTTATTGATTTGTGACAGCCTTAAACATCCTCTTGTTTACCACAGTTCTATGTACAAAGCTATCATAACTGTAGTACTGTAGAGTGTAGACTATGATCTGGGATAATGGCATTTTATCATACTTCATACCTGTATGTTCTTTTATCATTATACTATGTACTTGTATTATGTACAAAGCCATTATGTTAAATAGCTCATGAAATTCTTTCTTTAGCAACTGATTATATATGCCTCACTTTTCTGTTTCTTTGATAAGTTGAGGAGCGTTTCAACTGGTGATTCTAGAGATGTGCAACGTTTTCATCACTTAGGCGGAGACCTTTCATCCAGGATTGAAGAGATGAGCAGCCGCATGCAAGATATTCAGACCCAAACCCAAGCTAGCGACTTGGGTCTTTCCGACTGTATCATCTTTAGTGTTGAGGTTGATGGCAACACCAAAAAAGGTATGAAGTGGCGGCAGCCTCACAATTGCATGAAAGTCTGTGAGTTTAAAGGATGCAAGCAGGGGTTAGCATTCCCTGCTTGCGTAGGAAACAGATTTTTCAAATGCATGGTCCGCGTAATTTTGATGGATTGCGTGAGCTGTGAAAGCTTGCCACCACTAGGATTGCTACCCTCTTTAAAGGAGCTTCGAGTTGAAAGAATGGACAATATAAAGAAGGTTGGTCCTGAATTTTATGGACAGTCTTTAAATCCTTTTCCGGCATTGACAACTCTAGTCTTCTCTCATATGAGTTCCTGGAAGAAGTGGTTGCACCCAGGCTACCCAGCATCAGTTGACAGCAATAGTATGGTGGCATTCCCACACCTCGAGCAGCTTTCACTTTCGCATTGTGAATCACTGCAGGGGTGCTTACCTCCCTGTCTCCTTTCATTAAAAAAGATTTCGGTCTCATATTGCCATCAGTTAAGTGTCACACTTACAAGCCTCCCTTTGCTCGAGAATCTGTCCATAATTACATGTAAAGCACTGCAGATGTCTACTGCATCTAGTATTGTTTGTTCAGAATCAATGGACCTTCCTGATGTCACAGAAGTCACAGACTTTCCTTTGCCAAATTCTTGTCAGACTGTCTTCATATCAGATTGTCACTCCCTTTTGAAATTACATCAGATACCTGCCACACTTACCCAGTTGCAGATTTATAATTGTGATGACATACAGTCTGTGGAACTCAAGAAATCATCTTCCGCGACCTCTAATGTACAGAACATCTACATTTCTGATTGTAAGTCTCTGACAACTCTTGATATTCCAGAGAAGATTAGCTGGTTGAAGATACACAATTGCGAATCTCTCAAGTCTCTGATGATTAACAGGATTGACAAAAACCTTGAAACTCCCTTGAAACTTGCACATCTAGCTGTATTAAGAATAGCAGAATGTCCTAAACTTCTGTCATTGCCAGAAGATCTAATTCTTCCTGCTATAAAAGAGCTTATGATCGAGGACAATGCTAATTTTAGTGGCCTTCCCAATCAGATACAAAATTTTACCTCTCTGAAATACTTGAGCATTAAAAAGTGTCCCAACATCCAGTCTTTTCCAGGAGAGGGTCTTCCTAGGTCCCTTGAAGAACTTCACATCGAATACATGAACATAAAGCAGCCACTCGAGGAGTGGGGATTGGGCCTCCTCGATTCCCTCCAAGATCTTAGACTTCGCGATACAGGCTTCTCATCAGCTTTAGTGGTGTGCATTCCTAGTTCAGATCTTCAACTACCCTCATCCTTGTCTAAGTTGGAAATAAGTCATTTCCAATCTTTGAAATCCATATCCCCAACTTGAGTGATCTTCATGTTCAGCATTGTCCGAAGCTCGAATCCTTGGGAGATGAAAGCTGCCTACCTCCCAAGCTTAAGACTCTGTTAATTATGAATTGTCAGGAACATGTGTGTGAAGTTGGCAACAAGCTCCTCAAGAAACTTAATCCCTACAATGAAAGTAGTTTTGACAGTTGGGCTGATATGCCTATGTGAATGTCTAAATAATTTTAAAATTAATTACTATGAAAGAGTTTATTTGCCAAAACAGTATTTTAAAATACACATTTGATCATACACCGTATTGTGGAAGTACTTCATTTTTGTTCCTTATAAAGCTACGTAAGGTTTCCAATTTTTTTTTTATGAATGTCATGAATCTTAAAGCAATTTTACTACGGAGTAGAGCTGTAAATTCGGGTAAACGGGTCGGGTAAGAGTGGGTCGGGTCAATTCGGATTAATTCCATAATCTATGCGGGTCGGGTTTGGGTTGGGTCATGCTTTAGTCGGGTCACATCAGGTCATACTTCTTATCGGGTTTGGGTCGAGTTTAGGTCGGGTTAATAACAGGTCGGGTTATAATATTCGGGTCGGGTTTTCACGGGTTAAAACGGGTTAGGGTAATTCTCGGGTTCGAGTCGGGTTCGGTTCAAGTCAATAATTTACGAGTTAGAATCAGGTCGGGTCATTCTCGGGTTTGAGTCAGGTTCGGTTCACGTCAATAATTTGCGGATTATAATTAGGTCGGGTCATTCTCGGGTTCAAGTCGGATTAGGTTCGATTCAATAATTTGCGGGTTATAATCAGGTTGGGTCATTTCCAAGTCGGGTCATTCTCGGATTCAAGGGTTATGTTCAAGTCAATAATTTGCAGATTACAATCAGGTCGGGTCATTTCCAAGTCAGTTCATATTCGGGTTCAATTAACTATAAATACTCCCTCCGTGTTTTTTTAAGTGTTACAGTCTGAACGTCACATAGTTTTAGGCAATTTAATTGACTTAAATAAAATAAGAGGTAAGTGGAGTAGTTGGAGTATTAAAAAATTGTAAAAGAAAGATAATGGGGTTAATAGTTTATTGAAAAGTAATGAATGTGAGAGAAAAGATATAATAAAAAAAAGTAGTAGTGGATTTGGGTGGGGACCATGAGAGGAGAGATATATAATATTTTAATGTAGCTTTTTGCCAAAAAAGAAAGTGTAACACTTAAAAAAACACGAAGGGAGTAGATAATTATCATTTTTATAAAGCTAATTATTTCCTTTAACTATAATATATATGACATTATACTAGGGAACTATATTCTATCATTTAGAAAGATAATTATCACATTTGACCATACAACAAATATATACTATATTTAACTCTTAAAGTTGAGGATGATGCTCCTTTCCTTTGCTGGCCTGGACCGACTTGGTCTCCCTAGACAAAATGCTTTGATCAACAATAATAAGGTGGTCTAAATTGCATTTAAGGTGATTTGAAATCGGGTTAGGAACAATTTGGGTTGAATACTTGAATTTAGGTCGGGTCAACAAGAAGTCGTGTTAATTTCGAGTCAAGTTAGTAACAGATCGGGTTGAATTTTGTTTGGTCGGGTAAGTAATAGGTCTGGTGAAATTTGGGTCGGTCAATAACAAGTCAGGTTGAATTTGGGTCGGGTTAATAACAAGTCGGGTTGATTTTGGGTCGTAATTGTAACAGGTTGGTTAAATTCAGGTCGGATTAGGAACGGGTAGGGCTGAATTCAAGTAAGGTTAGTAACAAGTCGGGTTAAATTCGGGTTTTGACGGGTTAAAACATGCATGTTAGGGTCAATTTCGGTTCAAGTCGGGTCCGGTGCAAGTTAATTAAATAGGTCGTTGTAAACCGGTAAATTGGCCATTTAACAGCAAATTGGATGGTTCCACACACCAAATTAGACTCCCGTAGGATATTAAGGACCATGGTAAACATTTCGGCAATTTTTATTTCCGGAAAAAAAAGACTAAAAATTCCAAAATTGAAAGCTAATATCCACGCTTTTTGAGTAATTTTGGAGGTTTCAGGGCTTGGTGTCGAACGGTCTTGAAATTCAATGGGATAAATCTTAGGGTCATATAATGTCATTTGAAACCATATATGATCATTATTTGTTGTCATAAATGTTCGTGGTAGGCCTGAATTAATGAAATCGGTGCAAGTTGTAAATCGGTATATTGGTTGTTTAACGGCAAATTGGATGGTTCCACACACCCAATTGGACTCACAGAATGTATTAGGGATCATGGTAAACATTTCGGTAATTTTTATTTCCAGAAGAAGAAAAAATTAAAAAAAATTCCAAAATTGAAGGCTAAAATCCACGTTTTTTGAAAAATTTTAGAGGTTTCGGGGCCTAGTGAAGAAAAGTCTTGATATTTAAGGGGATACATCTCAGGGTCATATAATGCCGTTAGGAACCATATATGATCATTATATGTTGTCATTAATGTTCATAGTATGCTTGAATTAATGAAATCCGTGCAAGTTGTAAACAGATAAATTGGTCGTTTAAATGCAAATTGGATGGTTCCACCTACCCAATTGGAATCCCGGAGGATATTAGGGACCATGGTAAACATTTCAGAAATTTTTATTTCCGAGCTTAAAAAAGTCAAAAATTACAAAATTGAAGGCTAATATCCATGGTTTTTGATAAATTTGGGAGGATTCGGGGACCGGTGTCGAAAAGGCTTGAAATTATAGGGGATATATCTCGGGGTCATGTAATGCCGTTTGGAGCCATTTATGATCATCATATGCCGTCATAAATGTTCGTGGTGGGCTTGAGTTAATGAAATCGGTGCAAGTTGTAAACAGGTAAAGTAGTCGTTTAAAGGAAAATTGGATAGTTCAACCCACCCAATTGGACTCCCGGAGGGTATTAGGAACCATAGTTAAAATTTTGGCAATTTTTATTTGCAAGCGAAAAAAAGTCAAAAAAATCAAAAATTGAAGGCTAATATCCACGCTTTTGAGAAATTTTGGAGGTTTCGGGTCATGGTGTCGAAAAGCCTTGAGATTTTAGGAAATACATATCGGGGTCATAGAATGCAGTTTGGAACCATATATGATCATTATTTGTTGTCATAAATGTTCGTGGTAGGCCTGAATTAATGAAATCGGTGCAAGTTGTAAATCGGTATATTGGTCGTTTAACGGCAAATTGGATGGTTCCACACACCCAATTGGACTCCCGAAATGTATTAGGGACCATGGTAAACATTTCGGCAATTTTTATTTCCGGGCGAAGAAAAAGTAAAAAAAATCCAAAATTGAAGGCTAATATCCACGTTTTTTGAAAATTTTTAGAGGTTTCGGGGTGTAGTGAAGAAAAGTCTTGATATTTAAGGGGATACATCTCATGGTCATATAATGAAGTTTGGAACCATATGTGATCATTATATGTTGTCATTAATGTTCATAGTATGCTTGAATTAATGAAATCCGTGCAAGTTGTAAACCTATAAATTGGCCGTTTAAAGGCAAATTGGATGGTTCCAGCAACCCAATTGGACTCCCAGAGGATATTAGGGACCATGGTAAACATTTCGGCAATTTTTATTTCCGAGCTTAAAAAAGTCAAAAATTACAAATTGAAGGCTAATATCCACGGTTTTTGAGAAATTTTGGAGGATTCGGGTACCGGTGTCGAAAAGGCTTGAAATTCTAGGGAATATATCTCGGGGTCATATAATATCGTTTGGATCCATTTATGATCATCATATGTTGTCATAAATGTTCGTGGTGGGCTTGAGTTAATAAAATCGGTACAAGTTGTAAACAGGTAAATTAGCCGTTTAAAGGCAAATTGGATAGTTCAACCCACCTAATTGGATTCCCGGAGGATATTAGGAACCATGGTAAAAATTTCGGCAATTTTTATTGGTAAGCGAAAAAAAGTCAAAAAAAATCAAAAATTGAAGGCTAATATCCACGCTTTTGAGAAATTTTGGAGGTTTCAGGTCACGATGTCGAAAAGCCTTGAAATTTTAGGAAATACATATCGGGGTCATAGAATGCCGTTTGGAACCATATATGATCATTATTTGTTGTCAGAAGTGGTCGTGGTAGGCCTGAATTAATGAAATCGGTGCAAGTTGTAAATCGGTATATTGGTCGTTTAACGTCAAATTGGATGGTACCACACACCCAATTGGACTCTCGGAATGTATTAGGGACCATGGTAAATATTTCGGCAATTTTTATTTCCGGGAGAAGAAAAAGTTAAAAAATTCCAAAATTGAATGCTAATATCCACGTTTTTTGAAAAAATTAGAGGCTTCGGGGCCTAGTGTAGAAAAGTCTTGATATTTAAGGGGATACATCTCAGGGTCATATAATGCCGTTTGGAACCATATATGATCATTATATGTTGTCATTAATGTTCATAGTATGCTTGAATTAATGAAACCCGTGCAAGTTGTAAACTGATAATTTGGTCGTTTAAAGGCAAATTGGATGGTTCCACCAACCCAATTGGACTGCCGGAGGATATTAGGGACCATGATAAACATTTCGGCAATTTTTATTTCCGAGCTTAAAAAAGTCAAGAATTACAAAATTGAAGGCTAATATCCTCGCTTTTTGAGAAATCTTGTAGGATTCAGGGACCGGTGTCGAAAATCCTTGAAATTCTAGGGGATATATCTCGGGGTAATAATTCCGTTTGGAGCCATTTATGATCATTATATGTTGTCATAAATGTTCGTGGTGGGCTTGAGTTAATGAAATCGGTGCAAGTTATAACCAGGTAAATTAGCCGTTTAAAGGCAAATGGGGTAGTTCAACCCACCCAATTGGACCCCCGGAGGATATTAGGAACCATGGTAAAAAATTTGGCAATTTTTATTTGCAAGCGAAAAAAAGTCAAAAAAAAAATAAAAAATTGAAGGCATTATCCACGCTTTTTGAGAAATTTTGGAAGTTTCGGGTCACGGTGTCGAAAATCCTTGAGATTTTAGGTAATACATCTCGGGGTCATATAATGACGTTTGGAACCATATATGATCATTATATGTTGTCATAAATGTTCGTGGTAGGCTTGAGTTAATGAAATCGGTGTAATTTGTAAATCGGTAAATTAGCCGTTTAAAGGAAAATTGGTGGTTCCACCTACTTAATTTGACTCTCGGAGGGTATTAGTGACCATGGTAAAACATTTCGGCAATTTTTATTTGCGGGCGAAAAAAAGTTGAAAAATTCAAAAAAAGCCTAATATCCACGCTTTTGGAGAATCTTCTGATATTTCAAGGCCCGGTGTCGAAAAGCCTCGAAAATTTAAGGGATATATCTCGGGGTCATATAATGTCGGTTGGAATCATATATAATCATTATTTTTTGTCATAAATGTTCGTGGTAGGCTTGAGTTGATGAAACCGGTGCAAGTTGTAACCCGGTAAATTGGGTGTTTAAAGGCAAATTGGATAGTTCCACCCAGCCAATTGGACTGCCTGAGGGTATTAAGGACCATGGTAAACACTTCGAAAATTTTTATTTCCAGGCGAAAAAAAGCCGAAAATTTCCAAAATTAAAGGCTAATATCCACGATTTTTGAGAAATTTTTGAGATTTCAAGGCTCGGTGTTGAAAAGCCTTGAAAATTTAAGGGATACATCTAGGTCTCATAAAACGCCGTTTGGAATCATAAATAATCATTATATGTTGTCATAAATGTTCGTGGTAGGCTTGAGTGAATGAAATCGGTGCAAGTTGTATAGCTGTAAATTGGCCGATTTAAGGCAAATTGGATGGTTTCATCCACCCAATTGGACTCCAAGAGGGTATTAGGGACCATGGTAAACAATTCGGCAATTTTTATTTCTGGGCGAAAAAAGTCAAAAAAATTTCAAAATTGAAGGCTTATTATCCACAACTTTTTGAGAAATTTTAGAGGTTTCGGGGCCCGGTGTCTAAAAGTCTTGAAATTCAAGGGATATATGTCGGGGTCATATAATGCCGTTTGGATCCATATATGATCATTATTTGTTGTCATAAATGTTCTGGTAGGCTTGAGTTAATGAAATCGGTGCAAGTTGTAAACCGGTAAATTGGACGTTTAAAGGCAAATTGGATGGTTCCACTCACTCAATTAAACTCTCGGAGGGTATTAGGGACCGTGGTAAACATTTCGTCAATTTTTATTTCCGGGCAAAAAAATTAAAAAAAATTCCAAAAGTGAAGTCTAATATCCACGCTTTTTGAGAAATTTTAGGGGTTTTGGGGCACGGTGTCGAAAAGCCTTTAGATTATAGGGGATACATCTCGGGGTCATATAATGTCGTTTGGAACCATCACTAGTGGAAAAATTGTCATTCGTAACGGTTTATTTGTAACGGGCAATGCTATGCCCGTTACAATAAACATATTCGTAACGGTCAAAATAACAGTCCTTAAACATGAATGAAACAAACTATCAAAACAAGGTAATTATTAGGATATACTTCCTCCGTTCTTTTTTACTTGACCCGCTTTGACTTTTATACTATTCATTACTCTCCTTTGGCCGTCTTTTGTGAATGTTATGTAAGGCAAAATATATTCATATGATATTTTTTTAATTCGTTTCAATAAGTACTATCATAATATACAACTTTTATAATTTTTACTTATGAAGAATTAAAGTTATTGGTCGCTAAAGTTTTGCATTGGCAAGCGTAATAAAAGAAATAAGTAGTAAAAAAGAACATGAGAAGAGGAAGTATGAAGTTTGATAAAAAAAAAAACAAATTTAAACTTGTCGAAGATAATATTGTCAAAAAACTTCTCGAAGATAATACTCTATAGTTTCTTAATTACAAAAGTAATTTCTACCCCAATTTACCATTTCAATAAGGGTAATGCTATATGTAGCCCTAAGGGCTATATATAAGCATTAAATGCATTTTTGAAAATTAAATAAAGTTAGGAATTCAGGACAAAAACACGCGTAAATCAGTGTAATAAGTGTTTATATTTTTATGATTTCTTAACTTTTTACGATTTTCAAGTGTAAATTTAATGCTTATATGCAACCCTTAGAGGTAGGTATAGCATTTTCCTATCAATAAACAGAAATATCGAAAAATTTGTGTAATCCCGTGTCAATTAATAAAAAATCCACCTCAAAAACTCGAAAATCGGGATATACTTTTAAAAAATGAAAAGAGTAGTTAATTAGTTAATTCCAAACTTCAAAATAACGAGCAGTCAATCATCTTCTACATTCTACACATTATGATATGGCTAAACTCCAACCACACACCAATTTCAGACCACCAATGACAACTCCCATTAGAGCTCCAACTTGGTTCTCCACTAGAAGGCAACTCGAACTCAAAGTTTCTGAACTTCACAAATGTTCAAATTTATCACATTTGAAACAACTTCATGCTCAAATTTTCAAAGCTAATCTTCATAATGACCCTTTTATAGCACCTAAATTAATCTCTGCTTTCTCTCTCTGCCATCAATTAGGGTTAGCCATTAATGTATTCAATCAAGTTCAATTTCCCAATGTTCATTTGTATAATTCTCTTATTAGAGCTCAAACCCAGAATTCTCAATCTTCTCAAGCTTTCATTACTTTTCTTGATATGCTTAATAATGGCGTTTTCCCTGATAATTTTACATACCCTTTTCTTCTTAAGGCTTGTAGTGGACCCTGTTCATTGCAATTTGTTCAAATGGTTCATACCCAGATGATAAAGTTAGGTTTTTTTGGTGATATTTTTGTACCCAATTCGTTGATTGATAGTTACTGTAAGTGTGGGGTGATTGGTGTTAGTTCTGCTAGGAAGTTGTTTGTGTTCATGGAGGATAGAGATATTGTTTCTTGGAATTCATTGATTAGGGGGTTGGTTAAAGGGGGTAATTTGAAAGATGCTCGCCAACTGTTTGATGAAATGCCTGAGAAAGATGCTGTGAGCTGGAATATAATGTTAGATGGGTATGTTAAAGCAAAAGACATGGATGCTGCGTTTCAATTGTTTGAGAAGATGCCTGAGAGAAATGTTGTATCTTGGTCTACCATGGTTTCGGGTTATACGAAAGCAGGGGATTTGGATATGGCTAGGTTACTCTTTGATAAGATGCCTGTTAAGAATTTGGTGTCATGGACAATAATAATTTCTGGGTATGCTGGAAATGGATTCACAAAGGAGGCTATATCTTTGTATAATGAAATGGAAAGTTTAGGATTGAAATTTGATGATGGGACCATTATTAGTATCCTAGCTGCTTGCGCCGAGTCTGGTTTGCTCACACTTGGGAAGAGAGTTCGTTCCTCAATTGTGGCAACTGGTTTTAGATGTAGTGTCGCAGTGAATAATGCATTGATTGATATGTATGTCAAGTGCGGATGTGCAGAAAAAGCATTAGTTGTATTCCAGGGGATGTCTGAAAGAGATTTAGTTTCCTGGAACACCATTATCCAAGGTTTAGCTATGCATGGAGATGGAGTGACAGCACTCAAGCTTTTCTCAAGGATGAAAAAAAGTGGTTTTCGACCTGATAAATTCACTTTCATTGGTATCTTATGTGCTTGCACTCACATGGGTTATGTTGACAAGGGTCTTGATTATTTTTATTCTATGGAAAGGGATTATGACATTGTCCCCCAAATAGAGCATTATGGCTGCTTGGTTGATCTATTAGGTCGGGGTGGGCGTCTAAAGGAAGCTTTGGAGGTTGTGCAGAATATGCCAATGGAACCAAATGCTGTCATTTGGGGTACGCTCTTAGGAGCATGCCGGTTGCATTACCCTGTGGAAATTGCACAGGAGGTTTTGAAGCATTTGGTCAAAGTTGATCCAACAGAAGCCGGAAATTTCTCAATGTTATCTAATATATATGCTGCTGCGGGGGATTGGGGTAACGTTGCAAATGTTAGACGAACTATGAAGAATATAGGAGTGCAAAAACCCTCTGGGGCTAGTACTCTTGACCTGGATGGTGAGGTTCATGAATTTACTGTATTTGACAATTCTCACCCAAATTCAGAAGGTATATATCAGATGATCCATTTATTACGCCCACAACTTAAGGAATCTGGCTGTGCCCCGAGGCCAACATATGGTTAAATAACCATCAAGCCACTGGCCTTCGTAGTTGTTTGTACTGTGGCGGTAGACTGGTAGGGTACCATACATGAGGTCGAAGTTGCTTAACTGTGGAGCAGATGATGTACAGTCGTTTTCTCTCTCCACCGCGGCGCCCTCTGTATCTACAGAACAATACTTTGCCAGAAAGAGTAATAAAATAAGACTGATTACAGATTTCAGGGAAGTATGCTGTGCATGGCATCACACTAGCCGCTAGCGTTCCAAATACTCCGTCATTGAATATTGTTTAGAGTAACTTTATTGACATCAATGAGACCAAGGCTTACCATAAAGAACCTATTTTTACCATATCTCAACACTAAGATTGTCGAGATTAGAATAGAATTTCTTATTCCTGTTAGGCTGTCAACACTAAATGTTTATTTTTGACATTATTTACGAATCAATAAAAATTACAAAAATTAGATATTTGAAAAATACACATTAGCAAATTAACATGAATTTATAGTTAGGATTAAGGTAAAGTAGGACACCATATTAGACCAAATAATTCATCTTATTCCAGAATATACATATCTCAAGTCATCTAAAGATTACACCAAGGATCGATTGAGTAGGACTAGGTAAAGATTTAAGAGTAAGTCAGTAGATGTGAGGTTCTTATCAAAATTAACCATATTATTTAAAAAATATTTATAAAATAGAAATAACCCCCCATACATTTTAGTGCACAAAAATGCTGGAGCCTCACAAGAATAATACAAGTAGCAATCATATGAAATTTACTCAGAAAACCATGATACATAAGACATAACACGGCAAATACCCTTAATGTGAATCTTACAATTGTAGTTACCAAAATGCTAATATTCTCTTAACCAAAAAGAATTTCTAAGCTAATACAAAATCACTTCAAAAATTTAAGCTTGGGATTTTATTATAGCAACACAAAAGGGACTTGCTACACCGAGCATGGGGATAACACTAAAATCATAAATATTTTTTTTTTTCTTTATCCTATACAAAGCTTCCCATCCTAGGAACAGAAATAATTTTTGCCCCGGAATTCTCATTATTTCTGAATGACTATCTAAGTTTGATTCTGAAAAAAAAAAGTTTGATTCTGAAAGACTCCTGCTGCTATCTACCTGTACAATTGCCTCTCACTGAAAGAATCTACAACCAGTTTTCTGCTCTGACGACAAATCTAAAAAAGGTGCTGTACATGAGAAATTATAATCAGCTTATAACACTGACTGGGAGACACGTTATGATTCAAGCATTTTTTCATGATTCTTCAAATCCCTGAAACAGCAGTCAAAATATTGTTTTACTTCAGACCTGCTAGTTCAAGAGAAATTTATAACAAATAACAACTGAAGTGAAACATACATGCATCTAGGGATGTTGCAACTCGGATCTTTACACCTTCGAGAATGCATCAACAGAATAAACCACGTCTTCTTACAATGCCGACACCCACCAGCTATTCGAATATTACATGCATGTGCATGGGAAAAGAGTCTCCTAAGAATCGAACAATTTGGATAAGAACAGGGAAGATTCACTGTAGTATGACACTGAGATGCATGCAGTAGAACATCAAGCAGCTGTTTGACCTGCATTGCCAGTTTGCAATGTCAGCATATAGTAGGAAAGGAATGAAATGTACAAAAACTTGTTCCCAAGAGATTCATTACCAAATTCAGGTCCTATTGAAGATTGATCTATAACATGTATATTCAACAAGTACAACTTTACAGCACAACTTAAAACAAATTAAACCAACAGGCTGCCCATCTACTGGAAATATAGAACAAAAAATAATACGAGTGAGCACTTCTAAGTTCTTACCAAACAAATAATCAATGTATGATTGTGACAATTAGCACCATGTCTATCATAGCATGAGCTACAAACATTAAATTCTGGGCATGTCTCACACACCCATCTTTGATCAGCACCTGTCTCCTTGAGGCATAAATTGCAGGAAATCCCAGCAACAGACCCATTCGGATAGTGGAGATAATACAGAATCATCATAGAGGAGTGCTTTGCACGACGAAGTGAGTCAAACTGATAGTGATTTCCTTGACAGAAACTCAAAAGAGCATGTCTGTTTTCTAGAAAACAGTTGTCCATTATGGCATCATTGTCTTCTGTATCAGTTGGTACATCATTCACCACTTCCTGAAAAAACAAAAGCCATAACATTTACATAGTTACCTAAAGATTTAATTTTCACTTCAAATGTACTGTTTCTAGTAAAACTCAATGCATAATTCAATTTTTTCTTTAAAATTGGTTTAGATTGTTGAAAAGAGAGTATTATAGGCCTATGAGGTAGGAGATGAACTAAAATGATACCTGAGAGAGAGCATGTCTCTGACCACCACTAGATATGTGTGTGTCTCCTGGTCCAACTAATTCAGTCACATCATGGCATCTGCTAATCAAAAATTATGATATGTAAAACGCACCACAGTTCTTAAGTCTAACAGAAAATAGGTAGCCGATTTTCTAACTCAATTAGCAAGTCAAGAAAGAGAGGGATGTCCATGTCATAATCTCAGCATGAAAATTCTATCTATATATTGCATATTTCATCCAAACTTAACGATAATTACCTTGCACATAGCTGATAATTTTTGCACTGATTACAAAACCACCTTTGCCCTGATAATATGATTTCATGGCAGTTTGTACAGACGGATTGCAAGTTCACAATAATGAAGTCTTCCTTTGCTGATGATATAATATGTCCAAGCTGCGAGAAAATAGCAAACAAAATTCATTAAAGGACAGTAGAAGAAGATGATGAACAACAGTAAAAATTCATTTATTACGAAGAACATCAATTCAGTCTCTCAACACATCCTCACCCACGTAATTTCTGAAAGTTACACATGACATATTGTCATCCGGGAAAGAAAAGGAAGAACACAGGAAGAGATACCAATCTTATATGGTTACTGTCCTCACAAAATGACATAAATTTCACCCCTTCACCGCTAATTCAGAAAGCTACATTCACATAAAATTACAAATTTGAGAGAGCAAACTTACTGCTTGCATCAACAAGACGTCTTTCACATCATTAGCCGAAGGGTTACTATGTCCAAAAGCTTTCACGCTCCTCCACTTCTTTTTGAGCTGCTTTTCAGGGTCTCCTCCACTTTCTAAATCAATCTTCTTAATCATACTCTCAACAACACTAGACCAATAATCACCATCAAAGTAAGGCAACCTGGCTGCTGTAACTTTGGTCTTCCTTTCCCCAGTAGGCACAAAGAACTTCTCATATAAATTTGAAAAATTCACTACAATCTTTTCTTCTGTTGCTTTCTTTAGCATTGACTGATACCTGATTTGGTACAAAAATCAATTCAATAAGTACCTATAACCATGATCAAAGTTATTGAAAAAAAGAAGAAATACAATAAAACAATAGTTAAATCAACCCAAAAATCAGCACAAGAATTGTATGAACATGAGGATATAATGAAATTGAATGAAAATAAATAATCATGAATTTTGTAAGTAGAGGGGGGAAAAAAATATACGTAGTAGAATTGCTAGAATGAGAAATGAGAAAATGAGAAAGCTAATAATATCATAACACATGTCATTGTCAAAAAATATATATATTAAAGGTATACCATAGCCGCAGCTTGTCAGGTTTGGGGGTTTTTTGCGTCTCTGGATGACAGTATAGAATGTAGTCTTCTCCCTTCACAGGTGGACAAGCCCATATATAGCAGGTGGCAAAGCCTCGTTTCTTGCAATAATCAAGGTATCCAATCTAAGAAAAAGAATAGACAATGCCAGACAATTATGAAATTATCTCCAGTTATTATTCTCTTTAGATTATAAAAAAGACAACAAGATTAGAAAGGAAAAAAAAATAAAAAAAAATCAGTCGTAGAAATATACCAAAATTTCATGATAAACAAAAGTTCGAAGAGCTTCTCCTTTCAGAGTTTTTGTCTCAGGCCTAAAATACTTGACAGAATCAAGATATGATATATAGACGCATCTTTGATTTGGTAGGCTGCAGGCTGATCCAAACTCTTGGACATACATGGCAAAAAGGCACACATCTACACCTTCAATCCTTTGAAATAAAAGAATAACCTGGGATGGAAATATTATAAAAATCACACATGATTCAATGAATAAACTCTCCTAGTAGAGAACTGGAAAGAGCCACTTCATACTTAAAACTCATTAAAAGCTCAGAGTCATGACTGCACATGCATAACATAAACCTTTCAAACTCTAATTGTTACCAGAGCTAACAATAATTTCCAAAAGTAGTATCCACCAGAAGAAAGTTCACTCGTCACTCCTATACAACAGATAATTCAGATGCAATTAAGCTTACTTTTGATCTGTAAGGAAACTCTGCAGGGTAACCATTTTCAGGAAATATGTCCAAAAATTGTTGCTTCACTTTCAGTCTTTTGTCAACAGATGATACCACCCTTACAGCAAGATCAGCAGGACATGGCACCTATCATATAAATTACAGAAGTTGACAGTTAATTTTAAATATACATATATATATGTGTAAGTGGAACACATGAACAAAAGACAGAACCCACCACATAGACAACCAGCAAACTAAAATTGTCAGATAAACGAAGCCTAACATCTTACCTCTTCAGGATTCTTTCCTGCAGCTTTTGCCCTGTTTTCTCTCTCTTGCTTAAGACGTCCAAAGAGTCGTTGCTCAAGATGATCACTAAGCAAAGTTTGAGGAAGGTGATGTGCATCCAAAGAAGAAGAACGTGGCAAAGGCATTAGCCCCTCAAATTCTAGGTCTTCTAAGTAGCACTTTGGACAAAGATACTCTGAATCACCTCCTAAGTCTTTTTTATCATTAAAGAGGGCACATATCTGGTGTTGCCATCCTTCACATCTATCACATTGAACCCACTACAAGATCAAAGCCATATGCATGAGCTGTAATAATAAAATACAAAAAAAAAACAAGAACAAAAAATAGTTAACACAATAAAGCAGTATATCTCACCGATTCTACAGTCACCAAATCATTCTTTTGGGTCTTGAGATTGGACTTAGATATAGACAACCCATATAATGTGAAAGTACCACGGTGACACTTGTTATAGCATGTGGTGCAAAAGCATAATTGATCAGAGGTTTTATCGATTGTGGCGTAATATGTTGCATGGTTCTTTATACGTGCCCCGCAGAATAAACAATACAGCGGCATTGGTGAAAATGCAAGCTGAGGCAAAGCACATAGCTGGCAGAAGTTTTCACTGAGTGAACAGCTTGCTCCATTTTCAGCCATTTTTCCAGCTATGCCCTACAAAATAAGTGCATCATCAGCTGGCAAAGTCATAATTGAATGGTCAAGAGAAGAAAAAACCTTGAAGAGGTAATAACAATATAAAGAGAAAGGAGGAAAGTTAAATAATATTAAATTTTATGGAAATGGGATTCCTATTGTACATTTAACTCCAATACTCATCTAGTCAAGCACCCCATTGGATAAAGAAAAAAGGAGTTACCAGAATTGTACGGAAAAAACCATACACTGCAACATGATTATTAATGTCCATGAAATTAAATACTTTATTATGATGGGAAACGGATCAAAATAGAATTTATAGCACTCCAATCATCAGTCATACATATGAGCATCTTTATCCTACATGAGAGTTTCAAGATAAATTACATAATCAATAGAAACAGTCTAGAACATCATAGAATTTTAAATTGGTTCCACTATGGGATGGCCAAAACCTTTGTTTAAACAACATGAACCAAAAACTTTTCAATCCAAGTTGTAATAGCTGAGCCTGGAGAAGCATTTCAAACAAATTAGTCCAAATATTAAGGACTATAATTGCAGATTATTGTGCTACACCTAATAATACATCGAAAACAAAGGACTTGGATATCAAAAATATAAAATATAAATACCATCAATTAGACAACAGCACAACACCAGCAAAACCTCTTGAAGGTACAAAAAAATTCCCCCTCCGAGAATTTTTTTTTTTTTCAAAAAGGTTTTCACTGAGAGACAGCCTGGATTACAGCTATAATGCCTACTTTGGATATATATCTAATGAAAAAGGGGAATTACCTGATCATCTCTCTGCTTGAGACTAGACAAATGTCGTTTGATTTCCTCAGGCGTGAAAAAGTCAATTAAACTGATGCCATCCACCTTTTGTTTTTCTGACTTCATCCGAGTCCTAGGACCAGCTATCTGATGAATTTCTTTTGAATCACTCCGTGGGATAAACTCTACCTTCTGAGCAATAGGCTTGTCTTCAAACAGGTTTGGAACATAATCAGATGGCAAATCACAACCAGGGTCAGAAACTGTATCTTTGAGTTCATCGACTACAGGTTCGATCTCCTTCTGATAGGAATAAGCAGATGGATCGTCGGCAAAATTGGTAGCATTATCAGATTTACTTCCACAAGTATCATACAAGGCAGTGGCACCATTGCCTTGTTGACTAATTCTTGCAGCATCATCAATATGACAAGAGGCTCTTTCAGCCTTCTGCGAACAATTAGAAGACGGGTCTTCAGAAGGAATGATAGCATCCACAGACTTAAATCCCTTCATCCGAGTCCTAGAACCAGCTGTCTGATGAATATCTTCTGAATCACTCCGTGGTATAAACTCTACCCTTTGAGCAATAGACTTGTCTTCAAACAGGTATGGAACATAATCAGATGGCAAATCACAACCAGGGTCAGGAACTGTATCTTTGAGTTCATTGACTACAGGTTCAATCTCCTTCTGACAGGAATCAGCAGATGGATGATCGGCAAAATTGGTAGCATCACCAGAGTTACTTCCACGAGTATCATACAAGGAAATGGTGACATTACCTTGTAGACTTATTCTTGCAGCATCATCAATATGACAAGAGACTCTTTCAACCTTCTGCGAACAATCAAAAGACGGGCCTTCAGAAGGAATGATAGCATCCCCATATTTGAATCCCAGAGCATCGTCCAGATGACTGTTGTCAGATTCACTAATTCTTAAAACATCATCAGTATGACTAGTGGTAATATAAGCATTTTCCCCTGGGTTAACAGGAGTAGCCATTACTGGGGATTTAGACAGTTGCTCAAAGTTCAAAGGTCCTGAAGGACTGAATGGCTCCTCACTTAATGCAGAAACATCACATGGTGAATCACGTCTAGGAGACGAATCCAACTTCCTTAATTTTGCAGAGTATATAAAGTCTTCAGAAGTGTTAGCACGGACTCTCTTGCCAGAATCATTACCATGTGTCAGCCTAACAAAGCCATTTCCTTGATTTCTTAATCCAGATTGTATAAAACCCCTTGCAGCAGATCCACAAGTATCACAGTCAGCAGAGCCACAACTGTCGTAATGTGTAAGCAACCCCCTATATGTCTCACATTCACAGCCATCTTTGCACTTCAGTGAATGTATGTATTCCAAAAAGGGAACTTTATGCCCATCTTTTTTGTAATTAATATAACTGTATAGGATGTTGAGATTCTCCGTCTGCTTAGAAAGCTGCTGTGTATCTCTAGGGGTTGATGTGGCGCGCGGAGAGGTATACAAATTTCTATTTTGCACTGGTAAGCTTCCAACAGTTTTAATCTCCGTAAAGTGTCCATCACAATGTAGGAGCGGTTGATTAAACTGCAGGGGTCCCAGAACTGGCTGTCGCATATGCAAACCATCAGAGACAGTGGACACTTCAAATTTCAAGTTCTCCCTCACCGTAGCAGGTGAATACAAAGAAGGATCATTCTGGTCACTAAAGATGTTGAAATTCGTTTCACCTTATGAACCAAAGAGACAAGTCAGACAAAGAAAAACCGATTTCATTCATTACATACAAAGGAACAGAGTTCTTCCCATAGTTTCTATGCTCATTATCTTATTCTTGATGAAGCACGTGAGCAAGATCAAATCACAACTTGGAAAAGAGTAAAGCTAATTAAAATCCTATGACAAGAATTGTCCAGAAAAAACACTCAGCACGGTGGTAAGAATGAAGATACCACCGTGCTGAAAGATTTCAAAATCACCTCAAACAATACCATATCAATGCAGCCAAAAAATGAAGATGTTTAGTTCAGTCTATCAATATATCTAGCTAAAGAACACTGATGCTATATTACTACAACTCATCACTTTCTTTGTAGTATAACAAAGTGAATACTTCAGCAAGAGAGAGCGAGAACAATTCAGAAAGTAGTTGTGGGTAGTGAAGACAACAACCAATATGAAAAGCCCCGTTATAAAAGATTGCAAGCGACAGAGAGGATGATTTACAGCTACTGAGGTAGATACGTTAAAAAATAAATAAATAATAAATTAAAAAGAGGGGGAAAAAAAAGAAAAGAAAAGAAAGCACACCTTTGGCAGAGTTCTGGTATTGATTGCAATGACTCTCAAAGGATGCCTCAGAATCATACTGCAACCCACTTCCAGTATAGGTAATTTCACTATCACCAGAATCAGCATTAAAAAAACCCATCCCAGAAGAATAATTATTAGGTAGCACCAGCTCAGGTTGCCACACATTGGCATCCAATATACATTTTTGTGATCCTGCAAAAAACACATGCCCAACACTAAGACATAAAAGAAATAATATTATTATTTTTTTAATCTATACAACAACTAGATTCATTACCATATATCCTACTCCAGGGTACATCAGCTAAAAGCTCTGGTGCATGATCCGACTTAAAGCAAGCATCATCACTAACATATTTATCATGGTGTGGCTTATCAATGTTTTTGCAAAAAATATTTTTCGTTGCAAGGGTTGAAGCAGAAACATTTTTTGGTAGTGATGTAGTGGTATGCATTGCTTCATGCTGACCGGACTCCCAACTCCGTTTAATTACCTTCATAAGGCGATCAAGAAAATTCTGTTGATCCAGGTAGTCATTCTGAAACAAATAAATGTTACTCTTAATAAACTACAATGGAAGGGGAAAAATCAATACATTTTCACTAAAAGACAGACATTCAGATTTAATCCACTAAAACCAATTTCCAAATGCAGTAAATTTTTAAGATCAATACGTAAGAACACTTTTGGGCAAGAAAAATAAAGCACAAGCTATCCTCAGTTCACAATGCAAAGATGATTAAATTTCATGAAAAAAAGTAGTGCAAATACTACAATACTAGTCAATCAACACAGTAAACTATTAAAAGTTCAAGAAAATAAAAGAAAAAAGAAAGATAAAGACAGTAGACCTCGGAAAGAGCATCCATGAAGATTTGATTTTCCAGACTGGCAGCAACAAAAGGGATTTGTAACGCATACTGCTGAAATGCATATTGGGCAAGAAACACCTGGCTTTAAAAATGGAAAACAAAAAAAAAAATCAATAGAAGAAATATTTCACAGCCCTGTTTAAAAGGAAAGGTAAAGCTCTCAAAGATGATTAAGTTATTCCAAATACACCATATATACTACTTGTAGTACTATGTATGAGATAATTCAAGTTTTACGATCAATTACCTCAGTGCTAAAAACTACTTGCATGACCCATTTGGTAGCCATTTGTAAAAAGCGGTAATGGGAATAGGATTGCGTGTAATTAGGCCAGCAAGATTTATCCTAATCTCCATAGTAATGTAATCACATATCCAAACTTGTGTTTTACTTCATAAATGTCCAATAACATCCTTAAATGGTAATGGAAATTTGTGAAGAACAAAATAATATGTAAATTTCCCGCCTAAATCCCAGAAACATGCCATCTAACACCTTAACATAAAAACAGCACCTTTACAAAAAATTAATTAATAGTGTAATTCAATCACTTTCATTAATTCAGAATATTAAAAAAAGACCCAGTTGATCTCCAATATGCTTATATATAATCATATCATAACTATGATCATAAATGAAATTCAACAATAATAATAATAATACCTAAATTGGAGTTAAAATTATAGCAAAAAATTGGAATGGAAAAAGAAAAAAGGGAAACATCACCAACATTCTGTTTCTAACGAGTTCACGATACGAATCAATATTTGGATTGTTGCGCCAATTGAATTGGGGATCCGATTCGGGGCGACAAAACCCTAATTTTCCGTCTTCCGACAAATTGAAAGCGGGAGAATAGTGAATACTCGCCATGATCACATAACGCGAAGCACAGCGACAAATCAAATTGGTATAAAAATTTCAATTCATGAAAGAATTAAGAAAAGGCGATGAGAAATTAAAATCAAGAAAAAAAAATTGAAACCCAAGTTTTGAGGAATTGGGGGAAATTCTAGGGCAAAAAGATATTGTACTCCGTATCAAATAAGACCGCCAAATCTAAAGTGTGTACAAGTACTTGTATACTTATAGTACAAGTGTACTCGTATTGACCTAACAAGAAGTTGATTTTTTATACGGTGTATACAGTATTTCCTTCGGGTTTAAATAATTGATCCAAGTCTTTTGAACACGGTGTTAAGCCAAAATAATTTCAGTTAAGTAAAAATAAGTACAGTTCAGTGAAATTAAGTTCAGTTTAGTAGAAATAATTTCAGTTCAGAAAAAATAAGTTCAGTAAAATTCAGTTTTCTTACAGATGAATTATAATAGAAAATCAGTAAAAAAAAAATAATTTCAGTTCAACAAAAAAATTTCAGTTCAATAATATTAATTTAAGTTCAGTAAAAATAATTTAAGTTTAGCAATATAATTTTGTTTCAGTAAAAATAATTTCAATTCGGCAAAAATAAGGTGAATAGAACGGGGCCTTAAAAGAGGAATAATAGAAAAGCATTAATCTATATCTATATCTATATCTATACTTAGTATTTAAAAAGTATAACCAGAAAATTAAGAAAGACACATGTCCCCATTCATTCTATTACACTTCTCTAACCATAGTGTCACATGTCATCTTACACTATTAATTTTTTATTACACCATTTTTTAAATTCTTTCATTAAACTTATAATTCATTTTTCGTACACACTTCATCTCTCCTCTTTAATTTAACCCTTTTCTATTCTCTTTTTAATTTTAACCCTTCCAGTCCTTCCACCTTCTATTTAAGCCTCTTTTTCGATTAAAGTCCAAAATTTTAATTTCTTTAATCATGTTTCCGATTACATGCACCCTATAATGACTTAATAACATTTCCTCACTTATCTCTCAATATAATTTTTCCGATTACATATTAATAATTATACCCTATAATGACTTACTGATATTTCCTCACTTATCTCTCAATACAATTTTATATGAATAACCCGTGCATTGCACGGGCCAGAAGGTTAGTTTATTATTAAAGTGTGGTAGATTGAAAAATATAAAAATTTGAAAAAACGAAAGTGGGTGTAAATACGCGCATTAAAATATGATATGAGATGACCGACCTCTAATGAAGAAGAAAATAGTAAATATTGTTAAAAGTTTTCAAAAAAAGAAAATTGAGCAACTATTTAAATATGATCGTTAAAGGAACGGAAATAATTAATTAAATACGAAGGGAATGTAAAAGTATAAATTAAAAGAAAATTTTGTAGGACTCAAAAAATACCATACTCGTAAGTCGTTTTTTTTTTTTTTTTTTTTTGTCATTGACCTATACTTTCCGGCCAAAACCATCATAGTTTTACCATATAACTTCATATTTTTCCTTTTTCTTTCCCCATCCAGTCATCCACCATGTCCGCCATCCCTAGCCTTGTACCCCCACCATTTAATAGCTACTATACCAACACTAACCACCATTTTTACCACCTAACCATCACCATCGATCTCAAGCCACCACAAAGGGTTTGTGATAGCCACGCTACCAACTCACACAATCACCTTACCATTATGCTTACATACTCCTTAAACGGTTAAACCACCATAACCTGCTACATTATTGCTTTTTATTTCTTCACTATAAGTCTATCACTCTCCCTCTTGTGCTATCTTCTCCGTTATTTCTACCACATAGACCTAGTAAGGACAACACCTCAAAGTCCCAAACAACCCTCTTTAGCTTCCTTGCTTGATTCCTTCCCTACGTTTAATTCCTTATGCATGATTTTATGTAAGATGGTGATGGGAATTGGGAATATGATCGAATGGCAATGAAATGGTAGTGAGATGGCAAATATGGTGGCCGCAAAGAAGAAAGGGAGACAATTAAGACGTTTGATAACACACATGTTTTGCATGTAAACGTCGGAAAGTGAGTCAATGGTTGTAAATCTGAGCAAAGACTCCACCCGACAAAAATATATTTTGAGATCCTAATGTGTCATTTTTTTGTAAAAAGTATTTTCTGACAAAATAACGCGCTTAAAAGTTATTGTTACAAACTTAGGGTTTGTTCAGTAAACTGAACGGAACTGAATTGAATATTTTATGAGAGAAGGAAATTAGGAACAAAATTGATTTGAGCTTAATTAAATTGAAAATAAGCTGAAGACTTAACTGTTCGTTTGGCATTGCTGTGATTTTTTGTTTTTTGGTTTTTTGTTATTTAAAAGTATATGATATGTGTCTCATAATGAATAAAAAATTATATAAACTTATTAAAATTATGATAATTTTGAAAACTGACAACAAAAAAGTGGAAACACCTTTTTCTTGTTTCCTGTTTTTGGTTTTCAAAAAAACAGAAAACTGAAAACCAAAACTGATGCCAAACAAGCTCTTAGAAAAAGAAAAAAAAAAAAAAAAAAAAAAAAAAAAAAAAAAAAAAAAAAAACTATTATCCATGCAATTATTAATTACTCTAAAAAAAATCATAAAAAAGTCAAGAAAATCCTTATAAAATGAATCTTCAACCCAAAGAAGAAATAGTCCTTAATTTTCCAAACATTGAAAGAGACATATAGGGTTTGTCTCCCTCATCCCATTTTTCTCCGAAAACAAAATTCACAAATCCAGAAAATCAAAAATTTAATTCAATCAATCAATCAATCAATCAGCGATCTTTTTCTCTCACTTTCTCTCCTCGCTTCCAGTGTTCGATAGTAGCGAACAACAATGGCGGCCGAAGCTTCTAGATCTGCTGCTACTGGTTCCGCAGATTCTTATCTCGGCAGTTTGATTAGCTTAACTTCCAAGTCTGAAATCCGATACGAAGGCATTCTCTTCAATATCAATACCGATGAAGCTAGCATCGGTCTTCGCAATGGTATTAAACTCTTTAGTTTCTTGCGATTGTTTTGTCGATTTTTTAGGTTTTTTTTCGCGTTGATTTTCATTTGTTTTTGTTGAATTGATTGATTGTTAGTTGGTTAGGTTTTGTTTATTTGATGTTAGGGTTAAGGATGAATATTTTGATATTGAGGTTGAATACTAGGATTTGATTAAATGTTATAGGACATGAGTTCTTTGTACTTGAGGAAATTTGAAGATGTAGATTTTTTTTTTTTTTTAATTGTTGTGTTTCTGTTCTTTGCTAAGATTTTCAAGTGTTTAATGTTACGATTACATAAATTCGAAAGTTTGATTATTTGGATTTGTTGTTTGATGGTTGCGCCTCTAATTTGAAGGATAAGATTCTTTTGTTATAAGGTCCAGGTCTCCGAAGCTTACTTTAGAAGCATTCCACCTATTCGGTCTGATATGGTAAGCCTCGAGAGGCATTCCAACTATTCCGGTCTGATATGGCGTTCGCTTTGGTTTAGGTGGAACTTTTGACAGAGCTTAGCTTAACTAGTTTTTATTTGGATTAAAAAGATAATAGATTAGAAAGGAAAGGAAGAGGAGGGGATGGGAGGGAAAGATAGGAAGAGAAGTTGGTTGGTCAGTTTGAAAGGAGAGAACGGAGGAGAGATAAATGGAAGGGAGGTAGCGATGTTAGTTGGTTAAAATGGTTGGAAATCTTGGAATTGAAAGAATTTGAATAAATTAAGTGAATTTAAGTTATTAGCTTTGTTTCCATAAGAAAATGCATCAGTTCGGGAAGGAATTGAAGTTATTATAAAGATTACTTGATTGCCGCTCTCTTATTTTCATCTTGCTCCACACAATTGATGAAACCAAAAGCTAGAGCTAGAAAGTGGCTTCCTTTCCATGCCTTTCCTTACCATAACTCCTGATGAAATGGTCTAGAGGCTGCTCTTTACACAAGAAGTTTGGTTAGCACCTTTGAAAGGCTTGTGAATTGCTCACCTATTGAATCTGGGATGGGGCTTTCTCCTAGGTTTGTTTCCATTTTAAAATAATTATGACCTGACACTGAAATTTCCGTGTTTTTTTTTTTTAAAAAAAAAAGGAAAAAGATGGAGGGTTTTTCACTACTTTACCGTGATTTTAGATGCCCTGGGCTCTTGGCTGTTTGTATCTTTGATTTGACAGAGTAGTTAGCTGCTTCTGCATCATTTATCGGAAATTTGCGTTTCGTTGCTTTTCTGTCTTCTCACTCCTCATGTCCGTTATAACAACCTATTGGCCCAGCAGGGATGTTACGTAGTAGAGTTGTAGATCATGTGTTGGTTAAAGTTTGCTATATATTGTAGGCTTGTGCTTTAAATTTAAAAATTGATTCCTCTTAACATGCTTTAAAGTTGATGCTTCTTCAAAGGTAATGCGGTGTGATTTTAGACTTGAATGATTTGTTTAATTGGATGACTCTGGTGATTAGTAGAAGTAAGAAATTCTCTCTGAGATGTCGAGCAAAAGAGTGATGTCATGTGACTGTCCATGTCCACCTGTTTTATCGTTGGTTATATATCTGTTTTCTCTGGAATTGCGTAAAGCTACCTAAGTCAGAATTTTTTATGCTGCATTATGATTCTTTTTAGTTACCAAATGAAAAATGGTTTATTGGTGGAAGGAGTTGGAGATTTAGAATTTTCTGCTTACAAGTAATCTTGTTCATTGAAATTATTGTCAATTATGGACATTTTTCTCGTGTCTATCAGCTGCAATGCCTGCAAATTGCCACATGGTAAATTAAAGTTGCTCATCTTCTTGTTGAGATGTCTTCAATAAATAGACAGATATTTTTGCAAATGTGCTTCATCTTGGTATGTTACTCATTAATTTGGTACGGTTTCTTTTCCAAAAGTTGTCCAATGAATAGTTGGAGTTCATTTTAGAATGTAGTTAAGTATAACTTGCTTCTTAGTGCTTAACAGAAGTTTATCATTGCTTGAAAAATTAAGATCCTGATAATGATAATTTTTGCAGTTCGATCTTTTGGAACAGAAGGTCGCAGAAAGGATGGTCAACAAGTTCCTGCAAGTGACAAAGTTTATGAATATATAGTATTTAGAGGAAGTGATATCAAGGTAAACTTAACCTTGCTTGAAACTTGAAACTCTTGGACGGGAAACTATTCTATTATCTTGTAAACAACAATTGTCCTTCAACCTCGTATTATGTTATATACTTTGTTATATTTTGGCTGCTTTCTGAGTGTTTTGAGTTTGTAATTTGTATGATATATCAATATGTGCCATCTTATAGTCTTGATCCATTGACTATATTGCACTTCATTTACCTACTACTTGTATTGCAAAGATTTTTCCTTTTTGGTGCCTGGTATTAAGTAACGCATACATTAAGTTGTCATTTCCTTCAGTCAAGTCATCTTATACTGAATTGGAAACAGTGTATAGTTATTCTCCAATGTTGTACTCTAGTAAGACATTCTCCAGTGTATAGTCAAGTCATCTTATACTGAATTTTTTTGGCACCTTAATTTCCCCTCAGCTCATTGTCCTTGCACCATGCCATTTGTAATTTTGCACTGTTTTTTTTTTTTTTTTTTTTTTTTTTTTTTTTTATAAATATTGTTGGAAAGATTTCCGAAGATATTATTGTAAAGCTGAATAATTTTACTTTTTTTTTTCCTTTTCGTACAGGACTTGCAGGTCAAATCTTCCCCACCCGTACAGACTGCTCCGCCAGTTCATAGCGATCCAGCTATCATACAGGTAATTGGTCAATACAATCTTATAGAAGTCCAAGCGCAAGTAATCTCAGGTCATATTTTAATGAAGTAGGAACTATGTCAAGATATCCCTTTATAAGCTTTAATCAAGTATTGTGTTCTAGATTAAGAAGAGGAGTATGTTGGGTTAATGTTTGACATTTATTGTGAATCTTCTTGTCTCTTAATACTAAGTTAATGCTATTTTTTGCTTGTTTTCTCAGTTTTGTCTAATTAGAAATCTTCACTGTAGATATATTATGTATTATGTGCAATATCGTAGTTTCCTATGGGTTATATTTCCTAAGTGATCTGCTGAAAGGTATTCCTTGGTATCTGAATCTTTTTTGGATTGTCTTGATATCTGTTCATCATCCTGCTGTCAGTTTCTTCAATCAAATTGCTTCTAATGCTGAGATTCCTGTTAAATATGAAAATGATTTCTGGATGACATCTCATTTTGCACCTTTTGATCTTTTATTACTATGTTCCAAATTTGCATGGCTGTCGAATGATGACACTACATTGACATCTACTCCATGCAATTCAATTGAAAAATAGATATTTCCTTGTACTGAAATTTGACCATGCACATATTTAAATTGTTAGTTCCATGCAATTCAATTGAAAACTAGATTTTTCCTTATACTGAAATTTGAGCATGCACATACTTAAAATGGCACACGCTATGAATAACATTTTCTTCCTTGGGACAGTCTCACTATACCACTCCAACTGCATCTTCAAGTATTCCTACTGCTTCCGTTCCTTCTGCTGCTGGATCCTTGTCAGATTTTAGTAACCAAATGTCACAGCCTGGAGTTCCAATAACTACATATCAGAACAGTGTCCCCATGTATCCACCTGGAGGAATTTTGGCTCAATGGAATCCTTCAAATCCACCCACAACTAATGTCAATGGTATCTCTGTGCCGATGTATTATCAAGGATATTATGGACCCTCAGGCTCCCAACAGGCACAACAACAGCCATTGGTTCGACCTGGTCAAGGTTTTTCAATGCCACCCTCAATGCAGCCTCTACCCGCTGGAGCTCAACAACCCATTCAGTATCCAATAATGAATTCATCTATACCCACTGGAGCTTCCAACATACCAGATTCGCAATCCGTGGACTTTCCCCCTCTGTTGCTACAGCCTATTGTTAGCAGCACTGTGTCTATGCAATCCAATGTGCTTCCTGATCAGTCTTCTGTGGTAGCTCAAGACTCCTCAACTAATAGGATGCCCTCCTTGGTTCCTGCTCAAGCTGTATCATCCCAGAGTACTAACTCGCCCCTTGTGCCACCTGTCACATCTAATGTGTTGGATAAAAGCACTGTTGGACCGTTGATCCCTAATCAGGCAAAACCTATGTCTACTGCTACTATGCCCTTCAACAGCTTTTCTGAATCCCTATCTGCTGCTGGGGGGAAGTCCACTTCACCTGCACTGGTGACTCCAGGCCAATTTTTACAACCTGGACCCACCGTATCCCAGAGTGCACAAACAGAGCAGAAGGATGTTGAAGTGGTTCAGGTACCTGCTTTGGTGTCATCACCACAACCATCTACAATTTCATCAACAGCAGGGAATGCTCCAGGAACAGCAGAAGCTCAGGCACCACTTTTGCCGCTTCCCTCACCATCAAATTCAAAGGTAAGTTTTTGATGTTCTGTTACTCTCACCGCTGTTCATAATTTTCTTTCCTTGTTTCGTTCTTATCATTAGCTGCAGAGTAGTCTCTATATTGCTTTAAAAGTGCTTGTGATTTGTATGCAAACTTGCTAATGCTTTAGCTGCTCGATGCCTCTTTTTCTATAGGTAAATGGGTTTCCTTCTCAAACTCGTTATGTCAATCAGGGTGGCCGTGGAGGAAGAAGAGGAGGAAATGAGGTAACACTTACCTCTTACAGCACTTACAATGCATTTTGTTTTTGAATCCTACTTGAGTGAAGGTGGTCATATTCTGTATGCTTGTTTAACACTTCACCTTTTGTCTTTTGAGAAATAGAAGTATGTGTGTAAAGTTTGGAAATTATATCTTTGTTTCCTCCATAGGAAGTTTTGATTTGATATGATCTCTGGATTTGACTTGACCTTATATATACCCTAATCCTTAACATTAAATATTATCTAATGAGATGTCATTAGGTTTTTGTATCTATGTGTACTTTCCAAATATCTGAAATTTGATGATTTATTAATTCCACTGGTCTGATCATTTCTTAATTAAGCATTTATAAATAAGCAGAATTGAACATATCCTTGGCTGTAAATTGGTAGTGTAACTCCATTGTCGGGATGGCTCAGTCAGAAATTTAAATTTAGGAAAAATTAATTGGAATATTCCCCCATGATTTGCCACCAAATCATATTAAACCCAACTATTAATGTGTACATGTTAAATGACTTTAAACCCAGTTTTGTTCTTATTTAGCCAGTGCAGTTGGATTTATCCTGTATGCTTTTAGACTTTTAGTAGTTACATTTATTAATTTTTTATCATGTGATGGTTCAGTAGAGAGATTATCTTGTAAATTTTTCTCTTAAGTAATTGAAAAGAATGGCTATTACTAAGTTTTTGGGCACTATTAATCTAATAGTTGGGTATGATATTTTTTGCTTTGAAATCTTCTTTCTTCCCTCATCAAATGTATGTTTTATTCTTTACTAATATTATCCTGCCTTTCCTAGCTCCTATACCTAATTAAGGTGAGAAAAGCAAGCAAGATAGCTAATTATTCAAAAGCTTTGTAAATTGACTGCCATTCTTTGCCTGCTCTTGCAGTTTTCTCGTCCTGTGGCCAACTTCACTGAAGACTTTGATTTCGAGGCAATGAATGAGAAATTCAAGAAAGATGAGGTGTGGGGGCATCTGGGTAAGAATAAATCGAAGGCTGATGATGGGTTAGAGGATCAAGATGAAGATGATGTTGATGTGCTACAAAATGATTCAAAGGTGCTTTATCTTCCTGTGTCGTATTTTATTCTGTTTTCCTTCTATGACTAATATCGAGTTCTGATGTCTTGACTGATTTTTGTGATGTAGCCTGTTTATAAGAAGGACGATTTCTTTGACACCCTGTCTTGCAATGCACTTGATCGCGAATCTCGTAATGGAAGGACTCGGTTTTCTGATCAAATGAGGCTAGATACTGAGGTATGGATCTTGCCCTCTTTGTTTATTGTTGTACAATGATCATATTGCTGTAAAACATGAGGGGTGGAGGGTGGGGTGTATATAATCTATATTGTATAGTCTGTATTGGTTGGGGCTTGTAGGGAAGCATATATCTGGACCTTCCCAAACCTTGGCAGATCATTGTTGGGTGGTGTTAGTCCTTTGGATACTCCCCAGCTTTTTAAATTGCTTGAGGTTGATGTATTTGTATAATTCATATGCTTGTGGTTGTTTTGCTGGACGACTAGGTTTTCTTTTTCTTTTTTTTTTTTTCCTTCTCTGATGCAGAGTTTTACTTCTAATTGTAATCTCGGTGTTCATCCATGCAGACGTTTGGCAATTTCCCAAGAAACAGGGGATTTCGAGGTGGGCGAGGACCCGGTGGTGGAAGATCACGAGGTGGTTATTACGGGAGGGGTTATGGCTATGGTTATGTTGGAAGGGGGCGGGGGCAAGGGCAGGGGCAGGGGCAGGGGCAGGGTTATGGGAATAATGTGTACCGTGCCATGTAGTTGGCACACTGACAGTATCCTAGTGATGCAAAAGCTAAGGTTTGCTGATCTCGTTTGTGGTTATAGTGGTTTGGCTTGTTTATAGAGAGACCCCAAGACCAAGATTTAGAGGTTTGGCAATAGGCGTAATTAGGTTAAACCCAATATCCTTGTTTGGCAGATTGAAGGATACTTTCCTTTATTGTTGGTATTCTGGCATAGGATTCACAATCTCTTGCTTCTTTAGAGTAATGAGCTGAGCAATTAATGGGCACATATCGCTCACATCTTATGTATTCTGTTTAGTTTGAGGTAGATTCTATGTAACTCCTGGCAAAAATTGGCGGTGGCTTCAGCAGCAGATGATTTTAGTATCTGCTGCAGTAGAATAAACCTAAGTTATGCGTTTATGCTGGCAATGAATTATGTTACTTTGAACTCTGTAGTTTGCAGTTGTCATTGACATGTACTTGGAGTAAATTGAGTAATTGTGAACTTGATATTGAGTACATTAGTCAAGGGAGCAATTTGATGACCATTGCTTTGGTATTGTATTTCTGTGTTTCAAACAAGTTTGCATTTATTAGTGTTTTATGAGTTTCCGTTTTATCAGTTTTGGTGTTGGCTGGTGTCAAAGACAATTCAATAATTTACAATTTCACCGTCTCCTATTTTGAGTTTTTTACCACCCTTTCTCTTCATCGTTTCGACCTTTGAAATTCAACCTCTTCTTTATCTACACTGTTCAATGACATATTTACATGTATTCAACCTCGTTGAGCTAGTAAATTATGTGGGTGTTACATATTCTTATCAACAATTGGTAAAAAAAAAAAAAGAAGACTTCGAAGTATAAGCATTGTAGTGGTTAAATTTTAAAGGGTGCAGAAGACGTTGATTATACATGGTTTTTTTTTTTTTATAATAAATAAGAAATCAACAAGCAAGAAAGTATGATAGAGATCTAATCTGAACATTTTAATTTTAATTATCAAACTTTTGATGGATTAAACATCTTCACATTCGATGGAAGACTAAAACGACGAAAAACATTAATGAAAAGAAATAAAATCTAAAAGTGGCAATGTTGTTTATGTCTTTCGTTATACCAATTTAGACTAAGGGTGAGTTTATCGGTGAGTCTTGAGTGGAGTCTTAACTCAAGACTCACATACCAGACTATATAGTTTTTGCAATCAAGTGGTGCAAAACTATAGGGAGAGTCTTGAGATGAGTTTTGAATTCTAAAACTCATCTTAAGACCCTACAAATTTACAAAAAGCAATCTGATTTTTTTTGTTGGCCAATAAAGAGCTGGCAACTCACCAGCTCAAAAAAGTTGTTGATTTATATAAAAGAAATAGATATATAAATAGTAAATCTAAAGTGAGTCTTGAGATAATGTATTAAAAGTGGAGAAAGTCTGGTATGAGTCTTATAATTAAAAAATAATTTAAACTTAGTGGAAAGCTGACGTGGTAGAGTCTGAATTAAGAGTCTCGGCCTAGGGATTTTTTTACGAGTAATTATTTGTGAAAATTTTCCTTTTTATTTACTAGTTAAATGTACAAAATAGATTACATTGTTATTATGATTAGAGCTGTCAAAAGTTGACCTGACCCGAAATACCGACTCAAACCCGATTATTAACTGACTCATCTGAACTCGAAAAAATGGTGACTCAAACCCGACCTGAAACAACCCTAGACCCGAGTATGTGAGACCCGAACCCGAACATGAACAGACCAGGAGATGACCCGATCTGAATGTAACCCATAAATTATTGACCTGAACCGAACTCGACTTGAATTGAAATTTACAAAAACCCGTTTTAACCCGTCAAAACCCGAATTTAACCCAACTTGTTACTAACCAGACCTGAATTCAACCCGACCCGTTCCTAACCTGACCCGAATTTAACCCAACCTGTTACAAACCCGACCCGAAATCAACCCGACTTGCTATTAACATGACCCCAAATTCAACCCAATTTACCTGTTTACAACCTGCATCAATTTCATTAACTCAAGCCTACCACGAAAATTTATGACAACAAATAATGATCATATATGGTTCCAAACGACATTATATGATCTTGAGATGTATTCCCTAAAATTTCAAGACTTTTCAACACCTGCCGCTAAAGCCTTCAAAATTTCTCAACAAGCGTGAATATTAGCCTTCAATTTTGAAAATTTTGACTTTCTTTTTCGGCTGGAAATAAAAATTGTCGAAATGTTTACCATGGTCCCTAATACCGTCCGGGAGTCCCAATGAGTGGGTGGAACCATCCAATTTGCCTTTAAACGACCAATTTACCGGTTTACAACTTGCACCGATTTCATTAACTAAAGCCTACCACGAACATTTATGACAACAAATGATGATCATATATGGTTCCAATCGGCATTTTATAACCTAGAGATGTATCCCCAAGAATTTGAAAACTTTTTGAAACCGGACCCCGAAACCTCCAAATTTCTCAAAAAGCATGGATATTAGTATTCAATTTTGGTATTTTTTTGACTTTTTTATGCTCGGAAATAAAAATTGCCGAAATATTTACCATGGTCCCTAATATTCTCTGGGAGTCCAATTGGGTTGGTGGAACCATCCCATTTGCCTTTAAACGGCCAATTTACCGTTTTACAACTTGCACGGATTTCATTAATTCAAGCCTACACATTTATACAACATATACTGATCATTTATGGTTCCAAACGACATTATATGACCCCGAGATGTATCCCCTAAAATATCAAGACTTTTCTACACCGGGCCACGAAACCTCTAAAATTTCTCAAAAAGCGTGCATATTATTAGCCTTCAATATTGAAATTTTTTGACCTTTTTACGCCCGTAAATAAAAATTGCAAAAATATTTACCATGGTCCCTAATATCCTTCGGGATTCCAATTGGGTGGGTGGAACCATCCAATTTGCTTTTAAACGACCAATTTACCGGTTTACAACTTGCACCTATTTCATTAATTCAAGCCTACCACAAAAATTTATGACAACATATAATGATCATATATGGTTCCAAACGACATTATATGACCCCGAGATGTATTCCCTAGAATCTCAAGGCTATTCGATACCAGGCACTGAAACCTCCAATATTTTTTCCAAAAGCGTGGACATTAGCCTTTAATTTTGGAATTCTTGACTTTTTTCGCCCAGAAATAAAAATTACCGAAATGTTTGTCATGGTTCCTAATGACCTCCGAGAGTCCAATTGGGTGATTGAAACCATCCAATTTGCCTTTAAACGGCCAATCTACCGGTTTACAACTTGCACCGATTTCATTAACTCTAACCTACCACGAACATTTATGACAACAAATAACGATCATATATGGTTCCAAACGGAATTATATGATCCCTAATATCCTCCAGGAGTCCAATTGGATTGGTGGAACCATCCAATTTACTTTTAAACAACCAATTTACCGGTTTATAACTTGCACGGATTTCATTAATTCAAGCCTACTACGAACATTTATGACAACATATAGTGATCATATATGGTTTCAAACGGAATAATATGACCCCGATATGTATCTCCTAAAATATCAAGACCTTTCTACACCGGGCCCCGAAACCTCTAAAATTTCACAAAAAGCGTGCATATTGGCCTTCAATTTTTAAATTTTTTGACTTTTTTCGCCAAAAAATAAAAATTGCTGAAATGTATACCATGGTCCCTAATACCCTCCGGGAGTCCAATTGGGTGGGTGGAACCATCCAATTTGCCTTTAAACGATCAATTTGCCGGTTTACAACTTGCACCGATTTAATTAACTCAAGCCTACCACGAACATTTATGACAACAAATAATGATCATATATGGTTCCAAACGACATTATATGACCCCGAGATGTATCCCTAATAATTTCAAAAAATTTCGACACCGGGCCCCGAAACCTCCAAAATTTCTCAAAAATCGTGGATATTAGCCTACAATTTTGGAATTTTTTGACTTTTTTTTCTCACGGAAATAAAAATTGCCAAAATGTTTACCATGGTCCCTAATACTTTCAGGGAGTCCAATTGGGTGTGTGGAAGCATCCAATTTGCTTTTAAACAACCAATTTACCGGTTTACAACGGCCAAAATAATTAACTTGCACCGAACCCGACTTGAACCGAAATTGACCCAAACCCGTTTTAACCCGTCAAAACCCGAATTTAATCCGACTTGTCACTAATCTAACTTGAATTCAACCCGACCTGTTCCTAACCCGACCTGAATTTAACCCAATCTGTTACAAACCCGACCCGAAATCAACCCGACTTGTTATTGACCTGACCCAAATTCAACCCGACTTGTTATTGGCCCGACCCGAATTTTACCAAACATATTATTTACCCGACCCTTAAATTCAACTCGATCTGTTACTAACCTGACTCGAAATTAATTCGACTTGTTATTGACCCGACCTAAATTTAACCCAAATTGTTCCTCACCCGATTTTAAATCACCTTAAATGCAACTTAGACCACCTTATAATTGTTTATCAAAGCATTTTGTCTAGGGAGACCAAGTCGGTCCAGGCCAGCAAAAGAAAGGAGCATCATTCTCAAATTTAAGAGTTAAATATAGTATATATTTGATGTATGGTCAAAGGAGATAATTATCTTCCTAAATTATAGACTATATTTCCCTAGTATATTGTCAAATATATTATAGTCAAAGACAATAATTAGCTTGATAAAAATGATAATTATCTATTTATAGTTAGTTGAGGCCTGACTTGGAAATGACTTGACCTGATTGTAACCTGCAAATTATTGATTTGAACATAATCCGACTTGAATCTGAGAATGACCCGACTTGGAAATGACCCAACCTGATTATAACCCGCAAATTATTGACTTGAACTGAATCCGACTTGAACCCGAGAATGACCCGACTTGAAAATGACCTTTCCTAATCTGTATCATCACCTTTCCTTTGACCAATGTGTGCGATTCGTGCGATACACACTTGAGAAATTCATGTCAACTTACTAAAGTAATGGCAAAGTAATGGGTGCCATAGCATAAACCCAGAAATTTGCACTTTCAAAATTTCCCTTCAATTCATTTCTGTTACACTTTCACAATTATCCTTCTGTCCCAGATCGAATCTCATCCCCATCATCTAAATTTTCCCTCTAATTACTTCAATTCAAGAATATTCTTCCATTGTTATTACTTCAACTCAAATCCATAACCTTTTACTCCTCAATTTGGAATCTTTCATTCTTTGATTCATTCCTCAAAAACCCTTGATTGTTTTTCTGATTTCTTGTTAAATTAATTCTGGGTTTTCCGGGTGAAGCTTTGGAGGTACAAAAATGGCGGTTCCAGTGGTGAAATTTCCCATTTACATGGTGATAAGGTTGATCGGAATCATAGTGGCTGCTCTTGTTTTCACCTGGACTCTTCATTATAGAGGTGGCCTTGCTCTTATCTCTGATAATAAAGCTCAAATCTTCAATGTAATCTCTCTCTCCCTATTTTCTTTTCTAAATTAATTTTAATGAACGTTTGAATTCTAATTGGGATTGTTCTTAATGTGTTAAAGTTGAATTTCTAGTTTATATGTTTGTAATGTTATATTTGATTGTGGGATTTTTGGAATGATTGATGAAAATGATGAATAGGAGAAATTTTGGTTGATTACACGAAACTGTTTAAGAAATAGTAGATTTTGATGGAGGAAATTGTTATTATTGCAGCTCAGCATTGTAAAAGTCCTGGTGCTACAAGATTTTGTCTTTTGGGTAAATTTCGAGTTCATGTTTTGAGAAGAATCGCTGTAATTTTGCTAAAGTTTAGATCATATTAAGGTATAATTGCCCTAGATTTTATACACTGTACTGTGTGATTGAACAGTTAATGGTCAAATTAAGGAATGCCTAGGAATCATTACTCGTTAATGTTTTGGTTGTTGATGTATGACAATGTGAGAGCTGCATTCTCATGTCCATTGGTTGGTTTGATTCCTATTAGTTCGTGTTTGCACTTTGAATAAGCGTCTCAGGTTGTAAGAGTTTTAAGTTTTTTTTAGAGATTGTACTGGGACAGGATTATAGGGGCATAGGTAGTTTGTTGAACAAATTATTTTGTAGAGGACCAAAGGGCACTTGTTCGAGTGACTCTTAAAATTATTACGAAGTATATGTTAATGGATTGTAATTCAGCATCACATGTGCTAAAGGCTGATGATATTTCGCCTATTTGTCTTGTATTTATTTGTGATGTTTATCATGTCATCCTTTTTGAGTGGGTATGCTTCTCTTGATGAGTCAAAGGATATCACTTGAGCAGTTGAGTGGACTGATCACAATGACCTCTATATTATCATGAGTATTAGCTGATTCCTATATATTGTTTGGACTTCGGAGTAATCTTTTTGTCTTAGGGTATAAATGAATAATTCACTCATGGTAAAGGATTACAAGAAGGATGTGAGGAATATTTTATGCAGGAGTTCTAAACATATTCATGTTGATAACGGACACTAATTGAAAAATTGTTAGATCACCATAATTTGTGATAAGTGCTGATATTTGTTGCTCTAATTTGGCACTTTAACACACTCTGCCTTAACAATCTGTCAGATGTTAACATTAGCCTGGTTGGTTGCTGATCATATCTTTCTTTCAAGTGGAGATATGAAAATAATTGCTTTTGTGGAATTGCTTCACAGGATAATGGTTGTTTTTTTCTCTATCTCGCAGGTTCATCCTGTTTTGATGGTCATTAGCCTTGTACTGCTAAATGGAGAAGGTAATACTACACTGGTTCCTTGTGTATGTAATAATCAACAATTATATACTATGTAATGAAGACTAGGTACCACTTGATGCTCACCGAAATGCTTGGCCAGTCCACCTTGATTATGCTCTATTTTCAACTACATTTTCACATTTTGAACATTTCATATACCTGACTAGTGACTACCTGGGCTGTAACCTTGATCTGCCTAAAATTTGAGTTCACTTGCGTAAGTTATGAATTGGATGGATACCCAAAGTTGGATACTTTTTCTAATGTATAATTTAACATCCAAAATAGAAAATAACTGCCCTGCCATAGGACATATCTGTGTTGCCTTATATAGATACCTTTTTTTGTTGTAGCATGCTATATGATAGGTATTCATATAAATTATAAACCACATGCATTTTGTTATGTGCTGTGAAAATTGATATAGTATATCTAAAGCCGAAGTGATATTTACTCCAAGTATAGTATCAGTCTAATATGAGAAGAATTCAGTTCATCTGATGACATGTGAATTGTGGTTTGTTCATGTAGCCATGCTAGCATACAAAACGGTTCCAGGAACAAAAGCCTTTAAAAAGCTGGTCCATCTCTCCCTGCAGTTCCTCTCTTTTTGCTTAGCTATTATTGGTATCTGGGCTGCTTTCAAGTTCCACAGCGATAAGGGCATTGACCACTTCTACAGTCTCCACTCATGGCTTGGTCTTGGCTGTCTTTTCCTGTTCACTCTTCAGGTACGTGCTACAAAGCCATCTTCACTTTTCTTCTGTCTTGTGATTTGAGCTAGAAATTACTCCATGTTGAGTTCAGTTTGGGTTGCTTTCGTGTACCAAATCATTTGGTTTTATCTTGAATCGGGTCATATCTAGGTGTATTGTGAATAGTGTTTATAATCATGATAAATTAGTCAATGGTAGTCTTGTACATGTATTGGTTGGGTTGGGCGAATTTCGAGTTAGGTCAGACCACCGGGTATTGTGACATTGATGAATAGTCTTATCTAAGATACCTTTTTTTTTTTTTACAGTGGGCTGCTGGCTTTACAACATTTTGGTACCCTGGTGGCTCGAGAAACAGCAGAGCTTTCTTGCTTCCGTGGCATGTTTTCCTCGGTGTCTATATATATGCTTTTGCCATAGTTACAACTGTGACGGGTATCTTAGAGAAAGCTACGTTTCTGCAAGCTAGCCATATTATATCTCGGTACTCCACTGAAGCTTTGCTGATTAACTCTATGGGTATCTTGATAATGGTCCTTGGAGGTTTCGTTATTCTGGCTCTTGTCGCGCCCGTGAATGGAAAAGGTGAAATTCCCCGAACTGCAGAATAGCTTTATGCGTTTGGCAAAACTGAGGCTCCTTATGGCATGAACATTAACAATACATATTCTTAGGGAATTTCATTTGAACCACATTGTTAACCCTTGAATTGGGATAAATGATTAAAAAGCTTGAAAAATTATTTTCCAAAAGGATTTAGCTGTAGTTCCGAATTGATTGCTAGACATTCTACTATTATTAATTTATTACAGGTGTTTTAACGGGTTCTTTACATTATTACTTGCGCTGCTAAGCAATTGATGCAGGCGAGCTCTGTAACATTACAAATTAGAGCATATTTACAACAATGTAGCTGAACGGCCAAGAAAAGATTTGTTGCCTTCTTTACATTGAACGAATTTGAAAAAGAAGCTTAGCATAGCAACCCATGAAATGACGCAACCACATTACCTTCTCTCTCTCTCTCTATTACAATGGAAACCACGGATCCTGATCCAAACGCCCTTGAGAGAATCAAGGAGCTTACCAAAAGTCTAGCATAAAAAAAGCTTAAGCCACAGAGAATATGTCGTAGATATAAATAAGCCGAGATAACAAAATTACATATAATGTTCTCTGAAAATTTAACACCTCTCTGCTTCTTACAACTAACTCCCAAAAGTACATTTGGAACCCCAAAAAAGGGGAAGGGGGAAAAATGGATTCGCTACAAACATGGGCCGGGAATGCATTACTATAACTGCCCGGAGAGGCGAGGATTCGCACTCTACACAGAGTCAGGTTAAGACCAAAAAAATAACTAAACATTGGTAAAATTGGATACAAGAAAATGTTAATCCAAAATTAAGAACATGGTGTGAAGTAGAAGATTCAAGCTTTATTGCCATGTTTCATTCATTTGGTAACAGTCCTCACCGCAGGATACAAAAATGTGATGTTATTACTGTCCTCTTGCCTAGCCCCACAAGTGTTCCCTCCGATATTCCCGCACAATGACTGGCACACTTGTCGGTGGAATCTGGAATGCAAAGACACAAATTCGTAAATTCAAACTTGATAGACGCAGCTTGGATCAGGCAATCATCCATCATTGCATCAGCTTTAGACACACATACACAAGTTCATAGGAAAGCAAAGGGAAGCATTGGAAAGTAAGGTCCACTTCTTAATTTATAGTGCAGAGAGTACACAAAGGTCCAAGCGAGAATATGAAATTTACAAAATAAAATCTACAGAATTTAAATAACTGAACATCAAGAAGAAATGCATTCATGAACAGGAAGGGCAGAAATTGAACAGGAAAAGAATCATAACACAAATTACATCTACAGGAAGGACAGGAAGTTCCCTTTCCCTAGAATGAAGTAGGTTCTTTCCACTAATCCTGAATCATCACCAAATGGGTGGGGTGGGATGCAAAATATTCATGACTTGAAAACACGGCATGTGCCATATGGAACTTGTAACTAAAAATAAACAGCATAATTCTAAGTCCCAAAAAGGAAAAATTCAATGACTTATTGATTTACATGACATGACATGTGATTTGCTTATTTTAAAAACTGGGGAGTCTGTAGAAGTTATTAGTATCAATATCCTTACTTTCTTCCCTCACCTCTTAGCCCAACTAAGAGAAAATGGAATTCCAAATTTTCTGTTTGGTCTTCCAAGTTCCATCCAAACATGAGGGGTATACTAATCTCTCAAAATATACACATTAAAACAGAAAAGTAAATATATCATCTCACATTCTGATACTGAGATAGTTGACAAATAATCAATACTACCACTCATAGTTCATAAGGGTTCAAGTGATTATAATGAAAATAAAAGATGACCTTATTTTCTAACCAGGTAATGTTCATAATAAGTTCATTGCTTATGACAAATCAAAACTAGTTGCAAAGCATTAAGAATTCTTACTATTCAAGCAAACCAACTAGCTGCCATGATTCCGTGAAAGATATTACTTTGTATTTCAGATGATGATCCAATGTTCATGTTATATACGTAGTATGAATTTGATATATAGTATTAGATTCAACCATGATGGATTCCAGGTATACAATTAGAGATATCCTATTCAAACCATAATACGCGAAAAAAAAAATCAAAATTTAACAAGGTCTATGAGAAATCAAGATTATATTGGTTTCTGCCTTTCTGGATCAATAGGTCCACAGCTCCACTACAACTGACAGAAAACTCACCATGCCATAGTCCGTAATAATCATAGAAATGTAATCTGAAGGAGTTGTATCGTACCTGTTGAAAGACGAGACGAGTTTTGAGTTATGAAAACAAAAATTTTAATTTACAAGCATATTGGACAATCACTCTAGAAACTTACATCAAATTTAAAAGTTGCAAATTCTCATTACTAGTCCAATCTTTTAAGTAATTGATTTCCCTTCTACCAGGAACTTTCAAAATTGCATCAGGGTCACCTGGCAAAAAAGCAAAAAGTCATGAATAACCCAAGCATTTAGAGATAGAGACCAACAGAATCAGATTACAGAAAATTAAATGGTCAAAATTATATACCAAGTTCATTAAAACATATGGAATCAAGTTGAACCCTTTCATGAAACTTATATGCTTCACAGCAAACCAATACCGGAACATGGAAGGCATGAGCAACCATAGCTACACAAGCAGTCCCAACCCTTGAGTAAACAGTTCCATTAGACAAAACTGAAGCAGCCCCTAAGAAAACTCGAGTGACTTCATGCATAGTATACGAAACAGCATTTATATGTGTGTATGTACAGTTAACACCCTTAGCCACCAATCTGCGAAGTAAAAGTTGACCCTCAAGCTTTGGACGAGAGTCCACTATGACTACGCGAAATTGTTTCCCCATCTCATGTGCATGTAGCAATATCATTTCCACAGCTGAGGATGATCCATATGTGAGGAGGACGTCCCCGTCTCTAATTTTGGTCACAGCATGTTTGACTATCACTTTGTCAGCAATCAGTATCTTCTCACTAATAAAATGATTAATATCTGATTGCAGAGAGGCCTTTGCTTCAGACTCTGACAAACACATAGGCAGCTTGGCAATTCGATTCTTTAAAAATCTAATCGCATTACCCATACTAATTGAAAGGGGCCTGCACTCGATCAGAAATGAAACATAACTACCGATTCTTGCAGTAAGGTCTCTGATCAGAGCTTTCTCCGGTGGTGTTGAGTAGTCGTTTATTGCCTCTTGAAATGCTTGAAGCATTGCAATGCAACGAGCGTTGCCACCAGAAATATCTCCAGTCAAATAACGCAGTCCAACCTGAAATCCAACTATTACTATTACAATAACCCTTTGCTCTGATGGAAAAAACTAGAAGAGTAAACATAGTACCTAAATATATAAATATAAACACTAAGCTACAAACAGTCCATAAACCATTCCCACTATTTCACAATATCATTGTTACAATAACTTTTTTAAGTGGTTACACTGTTTAATAGAATGGAGGAGGAAAGAGATGAAGGTGAGCGCGGACACTGGAAAGACAGGACAGAAGGTATGGTGGAAGACAAAAGGGCTAAGGAGATAGGTATGGAGCAAGGTCAAGAGATTTATAGACTTTTGTCACCAAATATTACCACATTCAAATAGAAAAGGCCCATAACTTCAAGTCCTAATAGGGGCACCATCCAGAAAACTAGAGTTATAAGCAACAGAACTATCAATCTCATTCCAATTCCAACACCGAGAAACCTACAATTTCAACCGAAACAAGATAAACAGAGGCAATATCAAATGAGAGAGGTCTGCAGTATTATAATTAATCATTAAACAGCCTCTCTACTTCAAGCTAGCAAAACATTTCAGATAATACCTTGTAAACGGCTGGATGCATTGGTTCTAGTTGGAAAAACTTTGACTCCAGATCTGGAAGCTGTGTTCCATGCTCATATTGAGGCAGGTGCCTAAAAAGTTCAACCCTATTTCTGGCTTCAGTTTGGTTCACAACTGCTCTCTTTTTCGCTTTCTCCACCCGTGTCTTATCATCAAACTGCATGCGCGGATGAGGGACATCTTTCTTCCTCTCTTTCTCTGACTGACGATCAACGCCTTTCTTCTCAGATGCTGCAACAGAAACATTGTCTTTATTTTGAACAGAAGCCTTAGCAGCTTTCACCTGCTTAGAACTCCCTACTCCAGAAGCTGCAGCTGACGCCTTACCCATTTCAGCTACGGACGCAAAGCAAATCAAAGTATATAGATAATCAATACAGTGTAAAAAGATGCCAATTGGGACAACTGTCAATTAAAATAATAAATGAATAAAACCTTCTACTATTGCTGACAAAGTGACAAGCACATGGAGTACTGACAACAAATGGAACGAAAAATGAACAAAAACCATTTGCAAAATAGACGAGACAAACAACATTAGATGCATATGTAATTATAAATTGTGAGGCATGACTAGGCTATCTAAACCTCCTAAATCAACAAACACCACTAATTCCATATTCCAAACAACAAGAGTTTTCACTTAAGAATATATCTTGAAGAACGGCTGCTATCAAAATTTTCTTAGGAGTATACATCAAATTCATAAATAATGAAGACAATAAGGTAATACATACCTTTCGCAGCAGCTTTTGCAGCCCTTTGGGCTTCTTGAAGTGCACGTCTTTCTGCTTTTGACATTTTTTCCTTTGATGGCTTTGCATTGCCATGTTGTTCACTTTGAGCATCTGTTGATGCATCTCCAACTTTTTCTACGGAAATTCTTCATTTTTTAATAATGCTACAACAGCTCAGATAAGCAAATTTGATGTATAGTAGACAAAGAAATTGACATGGATCTGCATAGTGTGCTAAAAACCTTAAATCTAGAAAAAGTGGGGAGGTGGACCTAGTTGATAATATAAAAGACAATAATAACACGGATCTCTGCCCACAACACTGTATTCCGCTCAATAAAAGTACCTTGATAAGCTAACTTCCCACTTATACTAATATTCTACTGAACATGAGCAGTCCTATCCAAATCGAATTACCACATGTCCACAAGTATTAGTTTAAAAGTTGAATACAATGTAAAGCCAACTTTCCCTTCATGGCTGGGAAATTATGGTCAAAGTTTAATTAGCATATGCTCTAATTATGAAATGATCCACAATGAATGACTCGATAGGAAGAGAAGGCTTATTTGTCATGTGATGACCATGAGCATCAAGACATTAACTAATCATACACATAAATATTTGCATCCCTTTTCTACTCTATCCTTCATATAGATTTGGGTGGA